TAGCGTACTGCTCATGTCCAAGGAACGTAGTGGTGACGCCCAGGTCCTGAAGACAGATGACACCAACTAGGTTCCTGGAGAACGAGGGGATGTGCAAGCCTGTAAGAGATCCTGAGGGGACCGCCGGACAGTGAAGGGTAGTGGAGCTACGTGCGACTACTGGACCTGAGGAGGAGTCAGCAAGCGCTATAGCGGCAGGGGCAGCAAGCGGCGTGAGCGCAGTGTGGTCGCGGAAGAAGCAGGCAGACGCTCCAGAGTCGAGCGTGAAGGAGAGAGAAGCTGTAGCGTTGGCCGCCGAAGGGGCTAGCGTAGAGCCTAAGCTGAAAAAGGCAGGAGTTCCTACGCCTGACGCAGCAGGGGAACCTAGACTACACACATGAGGCACACCTACACTAGGCAGCACAGGGTAATAAGATCAGATCACACTAGATTTATCAGCATACATAACATACATAGCAGTCCTAATCTGATCCATGTCAAGCTCAAAGACAAGCACACGAGGGCGGGCCAGGGCGTACCAGTCAGGAGGGTCCGAGGTGGGACCACAGCGGAGATGATAGAGGTCTTCAAGGCGGCAGTAGCAGCGGGCGGCAATGGGACCTGGACGGTCGCAGACGGTGCCGCGAGGGGGGCCGGTCTGAAGCTGCAACTGGCAGGTGGCTACACTGGAGCCGCCACCCGACACCGAGTTGCGCGCCCCACCACCACAACCACCACCATCAGCGCCGCCAGGCCACCACGACGGCGGAGGTCCCCACGGCAACTGCTGCTGCGACTGCTGCTGCTGAGGGTGCTGCGGCTGCTACTGAGGATGATGTTGCTGCTGCTCCGACGCACCAGCCCCGGTCCCCGCGTCTTCACCACCGTCCTCGCCACCACCTCCACCACCCTCACCACCCCCACCGCCCTTCCCCCCGCCACGCCCCCCCTTGGGGCGGCGGCCCTTACCCTGATGCTACTGCGCTGAGGCCATGGCGGCGGTCTCAGCAGTAGGGGTTGTCTCATCAATAGTGGCAGAAATGTCAGAGTAAGTGCACTGGGAGGGAGCACAGCCCTGGAAGATAGGGACCGGCATAGTACCGCTAGACTGAACGATAGTGCGCTGACGGGTCTCTATCGTGGATAGGGCGGTGACAAAGGCAGTGAGAGTGAGGTCACTTGGGTGCTGACTAAGAAAGTGGTCGTGAGCAATGGCTAGGCGGTCAGGCAGGCGCGTGGCAATGATGTAAAGGGTCACGTAAAGCGGCGACGGAAAGGCACTGAGCTGTGCCCCTGTGCTAGCGATGCGGTAGCTAATCCCCAGTGCGCGGAGGTAGGTCAGCGACTGTGGGGAAAGACGCAAGGTCAAGGAACAGCATGGGGAGGATGAGGCGGCCGGCAGAGGCGGAGGCGGGAGTGGAATAGCACGTGATGACGGCATCTAAGTATTCCTTGGTGTTCACTACAGCGGTAAAGCGGGGACGCTCAGACAGAAGGAGGGCGTAACTAATGGCAAGCTGAGCAACAACGTCGCGCAAATCCCAGACAGCGCAGGCAAGCTCAGCAGCGACAACAGCCTCACACTCAGCAGACGTCTGAGCGTCAGGGAGGGCACTAGGTGGGGCGGGGCGAGGGAGCTTACTGTCGACATGGACGGCCAGGGAGTGGCCGTTCTGGCGCTGCCTGATTAGCTGGCGCCGGAGGTCGAGGAGACACGCCTCAAACTCAACGGCCCGACCCTCTGCGTCCAGGCGGAGCAGAGAGTCCGCCATCACCACGGCTGCAGCAGCTGACTGCCATTGACAAGGGGAGGAGGAAAGGAGGAGGAGGGCGCCCGAGAGCAGTGGAGTGCGGTGGAGTGCGGTGGAGAGCGGTAGAGTGCGGTGGAGTGCAATGGAGTGCGGTAGAGCGCGGTGGAGTGCGGTGGAGAGCTGTGGAGTGCGGTGGAGGCAGCCTTCCTCGCCACCGTCGACTGTCTCCTTCCTCGCCACCGCAGCACCCGCCTTTGCCGCCGTCGCAGCAGCTGCAGCCGCTGTCGTCGCCGCAGCCGCCACCGCCGTCGTCGCCACCGTTGGGTTTCGCGCGCTCGTGGGGTGCGGGCGTTGAGGAGGTTGCTGGAGAGGGTGCTAGTCCTGGGGTTACTATCGTGGCTCGTCCCAACGGTCCTAGGGGTGGCACGAGTGCTGGAGAGGGTGCTGGAGAGGGTGCTAGTTCTGGGGGTGCTCGTCCTGGTATGGAGCAGCAGCGGCCGCCGCATCCGGAGCAGCGGTCGCCGTCGGTGCCCATCCTTCGCCTCCTTGGTCTTCCCTCACCCCACCGCCAAGTTGCTCCTCCTCCTTCACTGCCTCCCCTGCCAGTTTACGGCCCTGTGTTTCCTCCGCCGGACTCGTCTTCGGCTCGTTTCCCCCCTCGTTCCCCTCCTGTGTCTCCTCCTCTCTCTCCTGACACGATATCTCCCTCTCACGTCTGGTCACGCCGTCCTTTTCGTGCTTGTCTTGTCTCTCCTGTTCAGCGCTCTCACCCCATGTTGCTTCGTTCCCATGCGTCTCGTGCTCCTCCGCTCCTTCCGTCGCCTCCTCCGTCGTCGCTTGCTGTCGCCCCGCCTCCTTTCTCTGACGTTCTTCGTTCTGCGCGTCCCCTTGTCCTTCGAGTCCTTGCCTCTCTTGTTACCGACCCGTCCATTCGTGTCGCTAGTCTGTCGGCTCTAGTCGCTGCTGTCACTGACTTTGCCTCTGCCCGCCGCCTTGACTACGCCGCCGCTCTGGTCTCTGACCATGCCTGCCCTCCTTCCGTCGGGGGTGCTCCTTCCCTTGGCAGTGACATCCTAGAGGACAGGCAGTACGGGCTTGCTTTCCTGTCTGAGGCTGCTCCCCATCTCTGTTCCATGCTGCTAGTCCTTGAGAGTGACCCAGACGCTCTTTACATCCCGACCCCTCACATTTACGTTGAGGCGGCTTGGGGATCCTGAGCCTCTCAGTGGATAGCTGCCATGGAGCAGGAGATGGCATCTTGGAGATCTACCAGCATCTCCGTCGACGCAGTTCCCCCACCTAATGTGAACGTGGTCGATGGCCGGTGGCTCTTCAAAGTAAAGCACCCTCCTGGAGAGCCACCAGTATTCAAAGCGCGCTACATAGCTAGAGGCTTCAGTCTACGCGAGGGTGTTGACTTCTTTCAGACCTTCGCTCCGACCCCGAAGATGACTATTCTTCGGGCGTTGCTATACTTAGCAGCACATCGTGACTATGAGCTCCACTCCCTCGACTTCTCCACAGCATTTCTCCAGGGCAGTCTACACGAGCAGGTCTACCTGCGCCGTCCGCAGGGCTTCACCGGTACCTTCCCTCCTCGGACTGAGTGGCTCCTCCGGCGCCCGGTCTACGTCCTGCGGCAGGCGCCCCGTGAGTGGCACGACACGCTGCGTGCTATGCTTTCTTACTTGCAGTTCTTCTCGTCGGCTGCAGACCCCTCGCTCTTCGTTCGTGCTAGCCAGACCTCGTTCTACATTCTTGTCTACGTAGAAGACCTGCTGCAGATAGAGACGCACTGGCCTCTGTGAAGGCTGAGCTACTGAAGAGACACACCTGCACTGACCTAGGAGAGTTGCGCCGCTACCTTGGCCTGCAGATCTCCAGGGACGGAGCAGCGCACACCATCACTCTCAGACAGTCACACTTGGTGCGCCAGGTCCTTCAAAGGTTCGGTTTTCAGTTCTCCTCCGCACAAGCCACACTTCTGCCAGTAGACCACAGAGTCTCTGCTCCAGTTCCTGAGGAGTCTGTAGAGCCTAGTGGTCCTTACGCAGAGCTGGTGGGGTGCCTCATGTACATGATGACTTGCACTCGTCCAGATCTCGCTTACCCTCTCAGCATCCTGGCTCGCTTTGTGGCGATAGGCAGACACCGACCACAGCACAGGTCGGCAACTGAGAGGGTTAAGCGTTATCTAGCAAGTACATCGGGCATGGGGCTAGTGCTAGGAGGATGCAGGCCAGTGGTCCTTACAGGGCACACAGACGCTTCGTGGGCGGACGACGCTAAGACGCTTATGTCCTCTTACGAAACTGCCTCATGCGCGAGCTATAGCAGCGCCGCTAGGCCCGCGTAGTACACTTGGCCTCTGGTGCCAACACAGCTGATATCTTTACGAAGGCGCTTGCGAATAAAGATCATCAGCACCACTGTGTACAGCTTGGTCTGATTCCTGTAGCTCCTCACTTGCTAGGTGTCAAACATCTGTATTTGTCATGTTTGTATAGACTGTATAGGGTTACCTCTTAGAGGGTACAACACTTAGGTATATTTGTGTGTACTCTCACTTTACCATTATTCAATTCCAATTCTAATATGGTATCACGTGTAGATAGGATCCCCCCCACCTACCGCTTCCGCTCATGCCCCCTAGCGCCCCTCCTGGGCCCCGTCGCGCTCCTCCCAGGCCCCGTAGCGCCCCGTCGCGCCCCTCCTGGGCCCCGTAGCGCCCCTCCTGGGCCTCGTCGCGCCCCTCCTGGGCTTCGTAGCGCCCCTCCTGGGCCCTGTAACGCCCCTCCCAGGCCCCGTCGCGCCCCTCCCAGGCCCCGTCGCGCTCCTCACAGGCCCCCTAGCGCCCCTCCTGGGCCCCTCCAGTAAATAGGTCCTTGATTGTGTACTCCTATTTACTATATATTCTCCTAACTGGCGTTGTGGCTTCACTTCCAGTGGCTGGACTAGTAGTGCCGCCCTGGTTTGCTCTTGTCTAGTTTGTACTCTTCTGACTGGTCTTCGTACCCTTGTCTCAGAAGGTTGGACTAGTAGTGCCACCCTGAGTTGCGTGTCTCTTGCCAATCAATGCCCCTTGTCTAGCCTAGGGTGTGTGTCAAATATGTATTCACATGTTATTGTAGGCTGGTTAGGTGTATGCCCTTAGGGAGTACAACTCATTAGGTCAAAACCACACTGTACCCTTGTTACTAGTTTCTATTCCGCTACTTTGAGATATAGGCCACACAAAATAACAAGGACAGAAAAGAACTGGCTGAATAATAACCTCACTGTCCTTTCTTACAGTCAAAATGCCTGTATATCCCGAACTGTATAGTGAACTTACACTATGGCCCATAATTTGCAAGAGGCCTAGTTAGCCATGGTCAGAGAGCAATGGGTGGCAGTGCCACTGCTCGGCAAAATAATCAGAAACTAGGGACTAGTCACCTGGCATGTGGTAAGCTTTTGATCCCCTTCAGCTTTTGGTGATGCAAGCTGCAAATCTGCCTGCATTCTTTCAGCCAACTAGCAAGTGATAGTTTGCACTTGCTTTTTCAAATACTCCATCGCCTGCTGCAGACTCAGTGCCTTCTCATAACCCTCCTGTGGTTGGGTGTGTCACTTCATGACACTTGTTTCTTAAGGCACTCCATCGCCGATTCTGCACCCAGAAGCTCCTGCGTCCATTCAGCAAGCGAGCGTTTGCACTTGCTTCCTCAGGTACTCCATCGCCTGCTGCAGAATCAGCGCCTCCTCAGAATCCTCCTCCTCACCATCCACATGCATCCCTGCGTGCCAAATACGCTTCCTCTGCTGCTGCTGCTGCTGCTGCTGCTGCAACTGCACAAGAGGTGGCTTCACCCCATACAAACCTGCTTCACTCCCTTGGTCACTGCCGTCACCTGCCCCTTCTTTTCTCAGAGCTGGCCCACAATCCGCGACATACGAATCCCTGGCAGCACTCCACAAATCTCTGTAATCCCAGTCCCGATTCTCAAATGCTTGTTGATGAGTCTGTCTCCCCTGCCTGCCCTTTTTGGGCTCCTCTAGGCCTCCCTTGAGGATCTCATCTCCATGGATTCTATCCCAGAAACTCAGTCCCTTCTGCTCCTTTACCCCCTCCCCACCATCCCCTCCGTCCCCATCATTCTCCTTACCCATCCCCGTTACAAGACTACCCGCTACAGTCCCTTTACAGCCATTCGGCCGAGTCGATTCATCCACCCCCTGCAGAATTCCCAGCAGTACTCTCTCACCCTCTCCCGCCTCGATCAAATCCGCCTGGAGCCTCGCCAACCGCCTATAGAGCTCCTCGGTAAAAGCACTTTCTGTAAGAGCCATCTCATGTTGAAACCCTGCAGAATGTATCGCCCGGCCATTCTCCCCTCTCCCCCGTGCTCCCTCCGGTCCTCCCACCCCTCCCACAGCGGCTGCCGCTGCTGCTGCCGCTTCTTCCTCTGCCTGGAGGAGCACGTCCCGCGCCTCTGCTGCTGCTGCCTCAACCTCCCACAGCCAGGCCTCCGTACTCGCTACAGACATCTCCACTTGCTGCAACTCCGCCGCGGCCTCTATACAAGCGCCATCAGCACATGCCTCCAAACACACAGGCGCCTCATTAAAGGAAGGGTGCAGCTGCTCTCCGCGCACTCTCATTCCCGCGCTCCCCTCGCCGCTCCCCTCCACACTCTCCTTCCTCCCCACTTCAGCTTCGCTCTCCAGCTTCCTCTGTAGGTGAGACACGTGGCAGTTCTCCGCCGGCCGCCGGTCCGTGCTGGCCCGTCTGCTGGTCGCCATACTCGCAGGAACGGAGAGAGAGCTCCGCCTACCTGTGGGGCCATTCCGCGTTCCTAGAGCCTGATCGTTGCGCGCGCCTTGATTTCCCACGTTCGCTGATCCTCCCGCTGCGACTTCGTCCTCCGCGGCTCCCGTTTCCCCCGCATCACCGCACCCGCCGGTGCATCTGCCATGCGCGGCGCTGCGGCTTCTGCTAATTCCGCGCGGGGACTGCTCCGCCACGCTCCGCGCGCGGACCACCCGCGTGCGCATGCCCGCCAGGTCCGCCATCACCGCGCGGACCTGCTCCTCCCGCTCCGCCAGCATTCCGCGCAGCAGCTGCAGCTGCGACCCCACCACGCGCGCCTGGAGCTCCGCCAGGTCCAACTGCCCCTCCGCCAGTTCCGCGCGCTCCCCCAGCCCTTCCGCCGATTGCACATGCGCCCCCACCTCCGCCAGCGCGCGGGCCGGCGCATGTAGCGGGCCGGCAGGCTGTAGCACAGCTATAGTCGGTAGTACTTTCCGCTGCTGTAGCACTGCTGCCGGCAGCGATTGCTTGCTCTGCCAGGGTTGCCTCTTTTCTAAGAGGCAGAGGAAACTGGGAGGGGGAGAGGCGGCCGTTGGGGGGGGCACGTGCATCGAGGCGGTCGAATTCACGGGTAACTGAGCAGGCGCTGCTGCAGCTTCTGCTGTTGCTGCTGCTGCTGCTGCTGCTGCTGCATTTTCCGCTCGAGTCACTACACGCACAACGCGCTCGCATGTCACCGTTTCATGATTCGACACGCGAGGGGTCGCCTTGAATTTGAAATCCCTCAACGAGGTGGCCGAGACTGCAGACGGGTGGTGAAGTTGGTGCTGACGGTGTTGCTGATTCAAATGTTGACTTGAACTCTGATGGTTATAATCCTGACAGTTACTCAGCTGCATGCTCGGTGTGTTGCTAGTGCCGCTGGCGCTGCTGCTGCTGGCTCCGCTGCTCGCTCCCGTTCTCGTGCTCGCACTAGTGCTCGTGCTCGCACTAGTGCTCGTGCTCGCGCTGCTATCCTGCCTGTTGAACTCGCCACGACCAGCCATTCGCCTTCTCCCAGCGCCAGCGCCGGCGACATTGCCGCCCATCGCACGCCGGGTCGTCGTCGTGGTCGTCGTCGTCGTTTCGACCGTCTCCGCTAAACCGTCGGCGTGTCGCTTGCCCAGCTCTGCGACAGAGTCGCCCGTCGCCCTGCGACGAGTCCATCGCTGCCAGACCAGAACCTCGAGCACGCGATTGAACTGCGTCGCGCCGGCGCTTGCGCCGTGCGAAAACACCCGCGGAGGGTTCAGGCAAGACGGCACGAGACGGGGGCTCGGCGGGTGAAAACCGGAACGAGGGCCTGACGAGCTCTCGCGACGGGGACTTGGGGAGCTGTCGCGAATGCCTGAGGAATTATCGCGCGGACTGTAACGAGAGCCGCTGGAAATTGGGTAGGGCGATCGCCATGGAAAGCACTGTACGACGGCTGGAGGGTAGTATACGTCGTCCCCGTCGGGAATGATCAGTCTTTCTGGAGCTAAGTCGGCGTCCATAGTTTGAGAGAGATTAGGAGGTACTGGAGTGTGGAGTAAGTAGCATTGCTTGGAAGGCGCAAGGAGGTGCTATTTGTAATAAAGAGCTTATTGGCAGTAAGCGCCTAAGTTGCTAAAATCTATGGTAACCTGTACTGACAAGTGCGAGGCTCGGGGAAGCAAGGCGGAAACAGAGAGGGAGCTGGGAGCACAATTGACCGTGGAAGACCAAGCCAGCATAAGAGCAAGACTAACAGGGCTAAAGAAACAGCTAGGCATCAGACAATAGGCAACCTGCTGGCGCCTTGCGCTCCCCTCCCCCTCACCTCACGATCAGGGATCTCTCTTGCTGCTCTGATCTCTCTCCCTCCCACTCAACCACCGAACCAAAGGGATGACTGAACCAAAGAGAACAGCTCAGCTCAGCTGGGCTCAGCTGACGACCTGTTCAGCAGCAAGGGAGCATTCCTCTGAGCTCAGCTGAAGCTCAGTATTTTCGCCTTCACCCTGCTGCACTGTGCTGCACGGTACAGTTTCAAGGTCAGGTCAGGGCAGGTCAGTCAAGAGGAGGCTCATGAGCAGGCCTCTCGATATTCTAGGGGCCACCCCGCAGAATCCGAGTTTGCCCGGAATCCAACTTGTCCAGGCTGGATAGCCCAAATTTTTGGCCTGTTTTTGCAGGCCAGAGTTTCGACCAGCTCGGAATGTGCCACTCCTGACAATGACACGGGAAGCAATTTTTTCTGGGGGCGCGAACGTTTACATTAGATTTTTTTTGGGTGGGTCCATCCTTACTCGGAAACTGGCCTCGGGATAATTTTGGCCTAACGGTCCATGGATGGGTACCGATATTCTGAATGCGTCAAAAGCAGGGCTAGGTATAAATTTAACCCTGGTTTCCTCGACAAAGCAGTGTAATTGCCCTGACTTCCAGAGGGCTGCTCATGAGGGGACTTGGGCCAGGGGAGGAGGGGGAAGGCGGGAGGTGATCCACTACAGTGTTCCATCAGGGCCACCTGGGCCGAAGAAAATAACAGAACGTGGGGATAGGGGGGTGGTGGTGGGCGGAACTTTACAGACCAACAGACCAGTGAGAATGTTCCGCTGCCCCAATCACACATGGTGGTTTCGGGTCGGCGAAAACAACAAGTCCTAATCGAGAGAGAGCCTTACCTTTCCACGTCACCTCGGGATGCCCTCCGCTTTTCCCCCAGTACGCGGAAGTCGGCCCTGGTGACGCATCAATCTGTGCGGTTGGCTCCTTGACGTCCTCCGCTGGCGGACCGGATTTGCGCCACGTAGGTCTCAAGAAAAGATGGTGGGCATGGATGAGTCAGCTTCGCATGGAAGGGTATGCACCAGCATCGCTGGTTGGTTGAATGGCGCGGACAGCGCTGTCCCCCCACCGGGAAAGGCTGGTGGTTGGTTGGAGAAATTGGAGCGGCACCGTTCATAGTTTGTCTTTTTGGTTCACGATGGTCGCGTTTTTTTTTTTTTTTTTGGGATTCCCATGGTCGCGTTTTTTTTTTTTAGTTGTAATTTTATTTACATACCCATTACACGAAGACTTCCAATATTTCCCAGTAACTGCGCAATATCAGCATTATCCATTCTCAACATGGTCTTGATAAGCTCCACGGTATTCTAATATTTGCAGGTAAGCTGAACTGATTTTCTGCTCGAAGCTGCAAAACAGAGAATGACATAGTTAAACAGAACAGAAATAGCTTAACATGCATTATTCCAAACCCAAGGAATAGAACGGAGGTAACTGCTTCATCGTGATTAAACATTCCACAGAAGAAAATATAAACACATGGTTCAATATTTACAGTGTCAGTCACAACAACGTCACCAGTTCTGGTGGAACAACCACCTTTGTTCTTCCGCTGTTCCAAGTTACTGGCCTGAAGCGACAGCACCGTCTGTCATCGTGACACGTTCGCAGTATTCCACTCCATGTCGCATGTTGTAACGCGGTCTTACGCGTCTCACTAGCTCCTTCGCAGCTCGTCGAAGAGGCAGGGAACGAGGCGAACGCAAGAAACGCAAGCAAGCAAGGCACGGATATACCGCGCCTAACAAGCACAAGGAGGGCTTAGCCCCCCCACGAAAATACTTTCATTGATCTCGGCACCCGCCCCGTAAGCGCACCCATAAGGGCAAGGTGCAAAGACAACAAACAAGGTCCTAGACAGAGCGAACAATATGAGATACAAGGAAAGGTGGGAGATCAGAACCCTATGAACACAAACCAAACGTCACGGAGAAAAGCCAATCATCTTCAAGTTTAATGCTCCCCGTTGAAGCTTGTCCACGTCCATGCTGCTTGTCTGTTGTCGCTTCGGGAAACAGACTGGCACCTGGCAGAGAAAAAAACCTGTACGCTGATACAACGCAGGCTGTTAGCAAGCGTCGACTATAAGGGCAGGAAACGTTGTGCGGGCCGAAGGCGGAAGAACCATGCCTTGTGGCTAGTTTCCTACTCCCTGAGGGATCCTAAACCTATCCTACCCAAAAGCTGACATCCTGTCGCAGGATGAGAGCAATGGTGTGACTTCTCCCTATGTATTCCTCGCCAGGCTGAGCTGCAACCCTTGATCGAAACCCTCGGCTGTGACAGGAGCAAGCGGGGTGGTGTGGACACCTGTCTGACCTCGAAATGATCGTGCCAAGCAACCCTCTGCTGTCCCATGACGAACCTGCGAACCTGGGCATCTCCGAACGTGCTTGACGAACCGCATGGAAGGCTCGCGAAGTGCTGGTGACATGCATGGAAGGTTTGAAACGAGCGAACCTGCTACCCTCAGCAACTCCCGCTCGCAACACTGACTCCAACGAACTTTTTGGGCAGCCCAAATGACGCATGACATGCTACTTCACTCTGAATGATTTTCATTTTCTCGATATTTAACAGAGACAATCAAGCAGAGACCTTCCTTTCCCTGAACAGTTTCCAGGTCGCGGGAAAGCGCAAATGTCACCCCCAGATGGAACTGGTGCTGTGCCTTGTTGGCCAAGCGAGCGACATTGCCAGACCTGACTCCGTCACACGAACCCCAGAAAACCCGGCACAATGCAGACCGTTCAAGCAGTCAGTTTGCCGAGGCGAAGTCCAGGCCTATCACCAACAGGCCATGCATACGAATATCCCTCACAACCAACCACCACCCGAACCAGCGACCACCTCTATCAAACCTTAGCCAAGGATACCCCATTCTGCTAAACAATATAAGGCTGGTAAGAATGCATGGAAACAACTAGTACGTAATGCAGGAAATCATACTGAAACAGCAGCCATTTTCTATATCACGTCAGTAACGGTGCCAGTGCCAGAATCATACTCCACATCAAACCTCCCAATCTGCAAGACTAGCTTGCAGCAATAGGTTGCTAAAAAGTCTGACATTCTTACCAGGAAGTGATATCAATCCCTAACTGCATGGGAAGGATGCAACCAGACACGCAGTAACGAAGTGTGACAACATAGGACACTGGCATCAGACAATTTACCTCGGGTGCCGGAATCAAACCACCGTCTCCTCTACTTCAGCTAAGCGCTACTCTGGCTTGTCGACACTCGGGCTTATGTTTTGCAAGCAGCGAACCATCCTCAAACACAATTCTCAGCAATCCACATAATTTCAACTACCTGCCCACCTCAGTAAGAGTACTGGTAACACGCAGATGTTAAGGCCCCTTAACTTTCTCTCCTGATCCTGTCCATTCCATCTTCCGCTGCCACGCTTAATCCCTTCGCCGTATATTCCTACTACCGTACAAGAACGCTCTGCTGGCAGGAATGCGTCGATTGACGTCTACCTGGTTTCAGAAGTGGGGATAATCCCCTCGATATACAACGTCCAGGAGGAATGGGACAGGGGGAAAGAACTGGTAGAGCACGGAGTGGCAGCAACACAGGACTGAAGGGAGATGGACGCAGCATGACCAAGCAGGTAGAGAATCAAACTACACAATCATCACTCAAACAGTTGTCTGGAGTAATAAAAGCGCACACCTGAATTGCCGATTTTGGAGCGCACAAGTTGAAGGCGTACGCTCGCCTGCAGTACACGACAGGGAAACAAGGTTAACTTTCCCAGGCTAGCATTCTAAATAAACGTACACAACAATTGACCGTTGGCCAACGTCGGCAGTAGGCGAGTTCAACATGGAGCTGAACTATGCTTAGTGACTTTCCTTGGACATGGTTGCACACTCAGTACGCCTGCTTGTACTTTTTATCTCATAGCAGATAGCATGAGAGCCTTAGTACATGGAGATACAACGGCCACGTCAGTTGACACGGACTTCTTGGACTACAATCTTGATCAGTCACGAAATTGCGAGTCAAAAACTTCGGTACATGAACGTCTTGGACAAAAATCTTGATAAGCCTGGTTGACGGGATCTATTGCTGGCTCTCGCCATAGGTAAGGCCGCCTCGAACCAGGAGCGCGTATGATGCTTGTAACGGGTTCCACGAAAGGAAGTCGTGTGAGGCAGGGGAAACATAGGGGGCAAGCAAACGCAACGGCACGGATCTACCGCACCTTACAAAAACAACGGGGGGTTGAACCCCCGCACAGAAAATAATTCCATTAATCTCGGCACCCGCCCCGTGAGCGCACCCTTAGGGGCAAGGTGCAAAGACATCAAAACAAGGTCCTACGCAGAGAACCATATACGGTGTACAAATACAAACAGAAACCACATCAGCAATACAATTCACAAACCAATCTGCAAGGACGACCGCCGACGTTTTCAGGGTCGATGTTCTCGCCAGCTACGTCTCCATGGTCGCCGTTGATCCAGGGGTGAAGAATCCGCCATCTGTTTCACATAAGCACGTTAACTTTCGTCAAAGAAGCAGAATAAGACACGTCTACTACACGGCTCTAAGATAGATGGGAAAACCTAGACGTACCTTGTGCATGAGGGGAGGGAGGAATACTCTAGTAACTCTCTCGACTGCGGAAGGGCAGGGGAATTGCTGAAGCTGTCTACACTGGCTGCTGCTCTGTGTCAACCGTTCATAACGTGATGGCCCAAGAGGTTATGTACACAAAACCCTAGTCACAGAAGGTACTGTACGCCGTCGAAGTTCCCGAGCGAACTTCACGAGCCTACTAGAAGGCTCGGAAAGCCGTAGTCCCAAGCAAACCCCCTCAAATGCGTCACCCAAACGTATTTTGGGTAGCCCTCGTTCTACCGAACCCCTGAAACGCGTCACGCATGGCCTCTACCGAACCCCTGAAACGCATCACACAATGGCCCGAGAACCTCGATTGACTCGAAAAGGGCCCTGCAACCTGACCGGCAGTCGTGAAATAACACGTACATGACTGTGAAATAACAATTATTTTTCTTCCATTCATGCCCAAGTTTTGCTTTGCTGAGGGCAGCCGAGCCTTGTCGCCCTTTGCCAAACCTCATGGGATTTCTTCACTGCCTCTTCGTTGGTTAGTCCGAGAATCCAGACACCGTTCATCCCGTTTCCGAGCCTACCGCCGAGCCAATGAAGGTTTTTGTCAGCCTTGGCTCAGGCCTTGGCCACCACAGATTCTTGTCAACCGCCAAAACCTGATCTGGCGCCAAACCTCGGAAGCTCCCACCAGAAGCCCCAACCTTCGCAGCAGGTCAGGGCACGGCAGACACATCACATCAAGAACTTGATGTGCTTATAGCGAACCTGAGTGTAACCTGGGTATTCAACTTCTTACAATACAGCACGGCTTTATGCACGCAAGACGATGTAACTGTACGTAGTGAATGAAGGCTAAACTCCTAGTGTATCCGTTATTTTCAAGAACCCTGACGCCATAGGTTCCTGACTACTGTCATTTCCCAGAATCTTGGAGCTGGACTAGCTCACTAGATGATGGAAGAAGGAAGCCTGTGAGAGGCAAATAGAGATTTTTTCCGGATTTCGGCCTAATTCTGTTTGACTCGAGTTTGAACCTGAGTCTTCAGTGTCAGATAGTCCTGGTCTTGTTGGGAACCAGACATGATGTGTTCCTAGCTGCTACGTCTGGCCGTGCGAATTAGTTTATGGGTGTCTAGTTTATAGTATCCCTGTCTTGGCAGGAGCGTTTACCAGGCATGTCGTTCGCTCACATCCTCGAGGGTGAGGTGCGAAACCCCACCTGGTGCTTGGGGAAAGTCGGCTCGCCTCAGCCGAACGATATTACATGTCCGACTGCTTACGTCGACGTCGTCTTCGGAGCTTTAGATTCCGCGTTAGATGCTTACGACGACCGTCAAGCGGGACTGCCACCCGGCAAGCACTCGTCCCGAGTGGCGTGGAAATGTGACCGCATTCTGAGCGTCCTTAACGCGTGTTTGGAAGAGCTGGATCCGTGGAACGCTCTGAACGCTCCAGGTGCGTTGGGGCGTTTGTGCTCATCTCGTTTTAACGCTTCAGTTGTGCTGCGTCCGTAGCTTCGTGTCAGCAACTTCGTGTCACAGTTTCTACAGCCGAGATGATTCCTCGTTAGCAAAAACGCTGATGTGTGCAGATATTTACCGGTTAAAGTTTGACACGACGTGCCCGGCACGAAGCTACGGACGCAGCCCTATGTCATCATCGCGTCCACTCACCGTCTCACTCTCTCACCGTCTCACCATCTCACTCTCTCACCATCTCGCATTCCTCTCTTCCGACTACTACTTATAATCCGCCATACTCTCAGATGGAGTTTTCTCGGAAGGTTCCGGACGCAAGACCAACCTACTGCATCACGGCGCACTGGACAGCGTTGCAGAAAATCAAACGAACCGCGGAAGCCATATCCAAAGCCACAGCCTGGTGGCCCCCATTCCGTCGACCTTCCACTCCTCCAGCGTCTCCCTCTCGCCTCCCCCTCGGCTCGGCGGTCGCTTCGGCCTCGGTCGAAGGTTCGGCGAGAATAGGACGGAAACGGAGATATCGTCGACCATGTCGTTTGTCATGCCGGTGCCTGCGCCCGCTTCCGAGGGCTCGTTGCCTGGCGTCTGGGGCTTTTCCGGGCCGGTTAAGGGATTTCCTTCGTCACAGACAGCTCCGCTATCCGCTCCAGACGTCCCTGGTAGTCACCACTTCCTTGAAAGGCCAAGTTGAGATTGTGTGTGCGCCTTTTTTAGCGCTTTTCCGCTCCTTTGATGTGGCTATCGTCTCGTCTGGCAGCAACCGTTCTGGCCTCCTGCGTAATCCTAAAAGTGTGCCCTTTCTCCCCAGTAGCTCACCTACTTCCGCGGCTCTTCCGCGGCTCTCCGTCCTTTTCACACATCCCTCTCCAATCCCCAGCGTTTCTCTTCCTTTCTTTTGACGGGACGGCCCTCAAACTTCCCCGGCTCCCCCACTCTCCCAGCTTCCCTCTCCCCATCCCGCTCTCTCTCCCTCTCCCAACTTCCCTTCTCCGCCCGACATCCCCCCTCACCCCCCCGGTTCCAGCCGAGCAGAGTCCCTCCCTGGCGGTGCAGTGGCGCGCGCTGTACGCGTCAGTGCAGGACGCGGTGCTCATGTACAGCGCGCAGTTCGTCTCCGCGCTGGCGGATGGTAACCCGCCCGCTGCTGACGTCATGGCGTCACTGGATGAGGCTCTGCAGGACCTAGCGAGGGACGTCTACGTGACTATGGATAGGATGGAGGAGGTGAGATGGGGAAGGAGGGGGGGTGGGAAGGGGGAGGGAGGAAGGGGGAGGAGGAAGGGGGGAGAGTGGGGGAGTGGGGGAAGAGGTGGAGTGGAGGATGGGGGGCTGAGGGATGAGGCACTGCAGGACCTGGCGAGGGACGTCTACGTGACTATGGATGGGATGGAGGAGGTGAGATAGGCAACAAGGAAGGGGGGAAAAAGGGGGGGGAGAGGGAAGGGGGGAAAGGGGGGGGAGAGGGAAGGGGGGAAGGGGGGGGGTGGGGGAAGGGGGGATGACCGATGAGGCCCTGCAGGACCTAGCAAGGGACGTCTACGTGACTATGGATGGGATGGAGGAGGTGAGGTAGGCAACAGGGAAGGGGGGAGGAGTGAGGGGGAGGGGGGGGGGGGAGTGGGCAGGGGGGAAGGGGGGGAGTGTGGGGGCGTAGGGATGAGGCTCTGCAGGACCTAGCGAGGGACGTCTACGTGGCGATGGAGAGGATGGAGGAGGTGAGATGGGGGGACGAGGGGGTGGGGGGAGGGGGGACGAGGTTGGAGAGGGGAGGGGGGATGGCGTTGGAGAGGAGAGGGGGGATGGGGTTGGAGAGGGGAGGGGGGAAGGGGGGAAGAGGGGCTGAGGGGGGCTCAGGGACGAGGCACGGCAGGACCTAGCGAGGGACGTCTACGTGACTATGGAGAGGATGGAGGAGGTGAGATGGGGAAGGGAGGAGGGGGGGGGGGGGGGGGGGGGGGATGCGAGGGGAGCAAAAGGTGGGATGAGGGCTAAAGAGCGTCTACTTTGGCTCTGCAGCACCTAGGGAGGGCCGTTTATTTGGCGATGGATAGGATGGTGGAGGTGAGATGGGGGGAAGTGAGAAGGAGGGTGGGGGGGCGAGAGGGTGATACGTGGCGTTAATCCTCCTTCCCACCCTCTGTTCCTGCCCTGCTCTTCCCTTCCCGCTCTCGCACATCTCCCTTTCTCTCCGAGCAGAGACTCAGTCAACACGCCGCTCTTTTCCCTATCCGAGTCTTCGCCTTGTGTGCATCTATGGAAATCGCTCGCTGCCAGAGGTTGTACCTCAAAAGCTACCCTGCTCTTCCCTTCCCGCTCTCGCACATCTCCCTTCTCTCCGAGCAGAGACTCAGCCAACGCGCCGCTCTGTTCCCCATCCGAGTCTTCGCCTTGTCTGCATCTCTGGAGATCGCTCGCTGCCAGAGGTTGTTCCTCAAGCAGCAGCAACAGCAGCAGCAGCAGCAGCAGGAGGAGGAGGAGGAACAGCAGCTGCAGAAGCAAGGGGACCAACGTGCAGCAGGGGAAGTCTCAGGCGAAACAACAGGAGATTCTGCAGGGGGTTTCACAGGAGCAGCAGAAGGCTCATCAGGGTCCTTCCTTGTAGCCGCTAGCAATCTCAGAGACACGCCAGCACCAGGAGCACCTGCACGACAGCCGTTGGATGAAGACGATCTGACGGTCCTGGAGCAGCTGTTGGAGGAAGCGGGGGATGAGGTACAGGGGTTATTCCTAGACTGCAGGGGGTCGCTATACGGTCTAGGTGTCACCCATGCCCCCTGCCTCGCCCGCCTCTGTCTCCTGGGGAAGGCGCTAAAAGCAGCAGCACAGGGAGCAACTGAGGGGGGTTTGACTGTGGTAAGGGACGCACAAGGGGAGGTGGGGTATTTGGAGAGGGGAGACGCGGAGAGGGGGGAGGATGGGGAGGAAGGGGAGGGTGGGGAGGAGGATAAGGGCGAGGGGGGAAAAGGTGGTGGTTTGGCTCGAAATACGTTTGAGTTTGATACATCCAAGGCTGTAAATGGTCTCACTATTGAGCTCGGGGCTCGTGCTCTTGAGAAGGATGGTGATAGTAATGATGATCGTGATAATGACGAGGAGGGGGAGGGGGAGGAGGAGGAGGAGGATGAGGAGGACGCTGACACTAACGAGAGTGACAATATCGAGGATGACTGTATCATATGGGACGACGGTCTACAGGATCTCAGGACACTGTTCCCCCCTGAGCGCTCTCCAACACACTCACGGATGCCGTCCTCCTCCTCTGCCTCTTCAGCTGCCAGAGGAGCGGCGCTGACCCCTAGGATGAAACCAGCCAGCTCCCTTAACTCGTTTTTCTCTGACCGTAGTCAGGAATCTGACGCTGAAAAGCCTAACTTATCCTCTGATCCTTGTAACTTAACAGCTGACAGTGAGGCAGGTGCACTAGGGGCTGGAGCGGGAAGGGGAGAGGCTGCAAGTGAGGGGGGGGTTGAATTAGGATCAAAGCCGGAGCTCGGAAAAGGGGGAGGGGAGGTCACTGGGGAATCAGGGCCAAACCCAGAAGAATCACCAACAGCATCACCATCACCATCAGCAGCAGCAGCAGCAGCAGTAGCAGCCAAGGGCCCCCGCCTGGGTGCAAGGATCTTCCTGGAGCGAATCCGAGACTACCAGTGGCTAGCAGAATGGCTGGGGATCGACCCAGACGAGCTGCTCATTCATAAGGTGCTTTCAGTGGTGCCCGTAGGCATGCTTCTAACGGATCTGGGCGTGCCCCGCTCGTTAGAGTCTGTTTTGTTAGAGTCACACCGGCCGCTGCTGCTGCGCGTGGTGCTGCCGGGTTTTCGGGAGGAGGTGAGGAGGAGGCTGGTGGGGGTGGGGTTGGGTTGGACCGAGGGGATGATACTCAAGACAGAGGTGTTTGAACCCAAGAGGAGCGTCGCTGTGTTTACAACGGGGGCATCCGGTGGTGGTGGTGGTGCTGCTGCTGCTTCTGCCCCTGGTGGTGCTGGTACTGGTGCTGCTGGCGGCGGTGGGACCGGGGGAGGTACAACTGCTGCTACTGCTGCTGCTGCTGCTGCTGCTGCTGCTGGTGCTGCTGGTGGTGGTTCAGGGGAAGCAGCAGCAGCAGCAGCACAAGCAGGAGGGAAAGCAGGGGAGAAGAAGCCGAGCCACAAACGCACAAAGAGCGCAGACGACATGCTAGAGTTGTCCCCGTTTGTGTCTCACGCAGTACAGGAGTCCCTCACAGCAGGCGGCGGTCTGGCGAAGCAGATCCCCCTGGAGGACATCCTCGCAGCTACTGACTCCTGGAGTCCTGAGAGGAAACTGGGGGAGGGTGCGTACGGAAGCGTGTTTAAGGGGATCGTCGGAGCGGGGCAGGGTGGAGCAGGGGAGCTTTGGGCAGTGAAGCGGGCAGCTAATGTGTCGGGGTCACATTTGGAGGAGTTTGAAAAGGAGGTGAGTGTTGTTTGTGTGAGTGGTGTGAGTGGTGTGAGTGGCGTGAGTGATGTGAGTGGTGTGAGTGGTGTGAGTGGCGTGAGTGGTGTGAGTGGTGTGAGTTCCTCACAGCAGGTGGCGGGCTGGCGAGGTAGATACCCCTGGAAGACATACTAGCAGCTATTGACTCCTGGAGTCCTGACAGGAAGCTGGGGGAGGGCACATATGGGAGCCTGTTCAAGGGGATCGTTGCGGGAGGTGGAGAATTGTGGGCTGTGAAGCGGGCGGCAAATGTGTCGGGATCACACCTGGAAGAGTTTGACAAGGGGGTGAGTGTTGTTTGTGTGAGTGGTGTGCAAGGCGCAAAAAAGCGATGGTCGTTTTAAACGGGCCGTTTAATACGATCGTTTTATACGGCCTTTTTTTGAAAAAAACGCCGTTTTTTTGTTGGAAGACTCCAGTCACAAATTTTTTATTAATCAGTCTAAAAACCTCGTGGCACTATCCCTGAGGCATACTGCACTGATTACGACAACAGATTCGCCATAAAAGAGGTGAGTAGAGCTCCCTACCCCTATCGCGCTGCCCCTACCGTCCCCCCCCTACTATTCCTAATCCTCCTCCACTTTCCCCGTGAGCAAAGCTCCCTGCCTTCCTCCGGCCCCTAACCCCCCCCTTACTACTTCTACTCATCCTCCTCCTCCTCCTCGTCATCCTCCTCCCCGCTCTCACTCCCGCTCTGCTCCCATGGTGCTCCCCCCTTGCGCCTCTCGTGGGATTCATCCCCCCCGCTCTCACTAGAGCTCCCTGCTTCTTCGTCCTCATCCGAGTCTGCTGCACGCTTCTCTTTGCCCTTCTTGGACCCGCCCATTTTCTTTGCCCGCTTCCTGGCCTTGCGCTTGGCTGACTGCTTCTTCTTCCACCCCCCGGCTGCCCGGAACTTCCTCCAATCGATGGCACAGCCCACGGCATCCTCCCCCTCCTCCTCCTCTGCCGGCTCGGTTTGCTGAGGGGGCGCCTCGGGCACGCTGCAACCTTCCAGAATCAAGGTCGGCATAGAGCTTCGAGCGTAGCTCTAGCTTGAGGTCGAACGCAGCCCGGGCGCGCCTGCTGAAGGCGACCCATGTGATGTCAATCATGGTCTCGGGGCTGAGGTTGTTTCGGTCACGCCGCTGGACTCGAGCCATGGCTGACCACCAACGCTCAACCACAGACGAGGTGATGCGCTGGGAGAGGATCCTGACCGCAAGCTCCTGCAGCTGGCGCACCTCCTCTCCGTGGATGAGCCACCATTCGGCCTCCGACATCCTTCCGCACTGGACCAGAGCGGAAGCCGCCCACCTCGCGTCCTTCCCCCCCAACTTCCCCTCCCCCTTGTGGAATGACTGCAGCTGCGCTTGCAGCATGGTGCGCCGTCCGGGGTCAGACTCACGTGTCTTGAGCACGGCGTCAACCCCTTTGCGGAGCTCGGTGTCGCCCCACACCTCGTCAGCAAATTGGTTGAGGGGGCTCAGCAGCCACCCCATAGCATGGAGGGGGTTGTGCAGCTGAGCGTCCCACCGCTTTGCGATAATTTTCTTCACGCTAGCCAAGAAGGCGGCTCTGTCCTTCGCTTCCATCAGCTCGGTCTTAATGAAGAAAGTAGCGGTGGAAATGGGGATTGGGTGGAGAGAGAGCGGGGGTTCGGGAAGGGGATCCAGCCCAGCATGCAAAGGGCAGAGAAGAAAGCTGGGAAGGGGACAAAAGCGGATGACTTACCCGCAGCACTAGCCGCCTCGTTGGTCTTGACCGTGGCCCCAACCATGAGGCCATAGATCTTGGCCATCAGCAGTGCTCGCGTGTCCACTGCCCGAAGGACGTCGTACAGCGGCTGCATGAGCCGGAGTACAACGTTCACGGACTCCCTTAACTTTTCCTCCAGCAGCATCGCCCGAATCTCCTAACCCTCCTTTGTCCCTCTGACGGCTACCCCCTTCCACTCCTCGCTAATGATCAGCCGCAACAAAGACTCCTTCACAGCAAGGAACCGGGTGATCATTATCACCTGGGTTCCAAAACGAGTGGCTCCAGGTTTGACAAGTTCGAGCTGGCTGAAAATCTCCCTAAAGAGAATGACGGCGCTCGCACTGTTCTTAACCATCATCACTACCCGTTGCGCCTCCGCTAGCACCTTCTGCACTACGGGGATGCCCCCAATGTCACTTAGCATCAGGTCTAGGCAATGAGCAGCGCAGTTGGTGAAAAAAATGGCCGGAAAGCCCTCCTTCAAAAGGCTGGACGCTTTCTTATTGTTGCTGGCATTGTTCGTCACGCACTGGACAACGGCTTTGTCGCCGACTTCGCATATGGCCTTGCGGATCAAGGCCGCCAAGTAAGACCCTGTCTTCTTGGCGGTCTTAGAGTTCACTACATCGACGAGCACCGGGCCGCTCTCGTTTTGCGCTATGACGCATACGATGGCGCGGCTCTTCAAGCAAGACCAGCCGTCGACTGATAAGGTGCAGCCGACGGACTTCCAAGTCTCCTTGAGGGGCGACACCAACTCGAAGGTGTCGGCCTTCAACTTTTTGAGCAGGGGCCCCGACACCTTGTATGCCGAGGGTAGCTTGTACGTCTTCCCGTACGCCACTGCCGCCCTCACGAACGCCTGCGTCGCTTTGGACCTGGTGGGTGGGAAAAGGCGGGGACTGCTGTGCGTGCCACGCGAGGAACGGGTGCGAACGACATGCTGCGGGAGCATCAATGGCGATAGAGAGAGGACTACTCACTGGGAACAGCGGAAGGCCCAGTCATTCTCGGCCACCGCGACGGCCCACAAGTGGTCAAGACGCTCCTTGTCAGCCTGATCCGACATCGCACGGATACCGAGCTGGACTTGCGCCTTGGACGTCGTCGCCTCGCTCATCGACGTGGAGGCCGAGCTACGCGAAGATCTGGCGGTGTTTCCCTTCTCGCGCAGCGTCCGCGCGAGCTCGGAGGTGCACATGGCGATATTCTTTGACTTCGTGGCCGGGGTACCGAAAAGGTGCTCCTGAATTCGTGTGGCGCTTGACGTCATGGTTTGCGTGCAGTGATTACACTGGACCCTAACGAGTTTACCGTCGTCATCAAACGTGCGGGTGACGTGTTCCCACAAGCGAGAAGGAGTCCGCGGCATGGCGGAACTGTGGTCTTGGGCGCTGCTGCTACCACTGACTGAGCTAGCTAAGATTCTTAGTCTCTGGAATTTGAGATGCACTCACTTGTTCTGTCGTGCTCCACATTTGTATGTGCTCAACTCGACAATAATCGTGAAGGCCGTTTGATGAAGTCGTTTGAAAGGGTGCACACCTCTGGGGGGATTGGGAAATTTGCGACACGTCAGGTTCGCGATGTGTCGCGTCGCGTACATCGCGAACTCATTTTCAGGCGCGAAACTGTACACCAGGCCACTAGCGACAGTGGGGTACAGTTCGCACCGGCTTCGCGAATTGGATCCAATTCGCGGATCGACATTGGCTCCGAGTCGCGTTTCGTTGGAAAATTGTGTCAGCTCGAACCTGACTTTGGAGCGACACCAAAATCGAGTCAGCCAAACCAACATACGCGATATACGTTTTCAATTGTTGGGTACAAAAACGCTCACAATGGAACGCTCACTCCTTCACCCCTTACCCCCTCCTCCCCCCCTCCCCCCATGTCTCCTTCATGAGTAGAATGGCCCACCAACACTTGGTACGTCTGATCGGCTTCTGGGCGGACTGCGGCGAGCGCATCGTCGTCTAAGAGTTCATGCACCACGGCATGCTCACTCCTTCCCCCTCTCCCCCCTTCCCCTCCCACCCCTCAGGTCTCTTTCATGAGTCGAATGGCACATCAGCACCTGGTGCGCCTCATCGGCTTCTGGGCGGACTGCGACGAGCGCATCCTCATCTACGAGTTCATGCACAATGGCACACTGGCTTCACGCATCCACCGCGCAGCATTGCCGCCATCCCCCACAGGAGGTGAGTGCTGTGCTGTGCCCCAAGCTGTGGACAGCAGCCATCATCCTCGTCTGCGAGTTCATCCACCACGCGGTATTGCCGCCTTCCCCGCCTGGAGGTCAGCTCAGAGCACTATGTGCTGAGCGGAATCAGATGCTCGTTTGATGAGCTGCCCATTGGATGAGCGCATCCTCATCTACGAGTTCATGCGCAATGGAACCCTAGCCTCCGCATCCACCGAGCGGCAGTGCCGCCTTTCCCGCCTAGAGGTGAGCATTATGTGAGGATTTCAATGCATTCCGCAGCCCATGTGACGAGCACATCCTAGTCTAGGAGTTCATGCACCATGGAACCCGAGCCTCTGCATCCACCGTGCAGCAGTGCTGTCGGGAGGTGAGCAGTAGGCGTGTCACCACCCTTGCGGTCAGAGCAGCCGAGGGCGTTTCGCTACCTATACGCCTTTGCCTAATCTCCCTTAGCCCACTTCCCGCACTTCCCTCCTTCCCCTCCCCCCTCCACCTCCTGCCACTCGCCCCCCCCCTCCCCCTCTAACCTTCGACGAGCGGGCGCCATTGCAGTGGGCGCAGCCAAGGGCCTTCGCTACCTGCACGATTTTGCCTAATCTCCCTTCCCCCTCTCTCTCCCTCCCCTCATTCCACTCGTCCTTCGAACAGGATCTCCCAAGAAACAGCCTCCCCCAGCTCTCACCTTTGACGAGCGGGTCACCCTCGCAGTAGGAACAGACGAGGGCCTTCGCTACCTGCACAACTTTTCCTAATCTCCCTTCCCCCCCTCTCCCCCTTTCCCCTCCCCCCTCCACCTCCTTCCACTCGTCCCACAAACAGATGCACCCAAGAAGGCCCCCCCTCCCCCGCTAACCTTTGACGAGCGGGTCACCATTGCAGTGGGAGCAGCCGAGGGCCTCCGCTACCTTCACGATTTCGCCCGGCCGCCTGTGATTCACCGCGATATCAAATCGGAGAATATCTTACTGGCAAAGGATCTGCAGGCCAAGGTGGCGGATTTTGGGCTGCTGAAGACGAGCGACCAGGGGGGCCCGGGGCGGCATGTGCAGCGGACGAGGCTGATGGGCACCCCGGGGTATTGCGACCCGGAGTATTCGCGGACTTATGTTGCCACGCCCAAGAGCGACGTGTACAGGTGAGAGTGGGGATGGGTGTATCATGGTTTTATAGAGCCTGTGTGAGAATGAGGGGGTGTGAGGGTTAAAGGATTAGGGGGCCCGGGGCGGCATGTGCAGCAGACGAGACTTATGGGCACTCGGGGGTAGTGCGACCCGGAGTGTTCGAGGACCTTTGTTGCCACGGCCAAGAGCGACGTGTGCAGGTGAGGACAATGGGCAACGTGGCGACTCTTCTGAGTCAACTCAAAGCACCTTCCCTCGGTGGCTGTCTTCCCCTTCTGCCTTCCAGCTTTGGAGTGGTTCTGCTGGAGCTGGTTTCGGGCCGCAGGGCCACCTTAACAGAGAATTGAGGTGCCTCAACTCTCAGATCTCAACCCTCTCTCACACTATCTTTCAACCCTCGCCCTCACATGGCTGTCTCTGCAGCTTTGGAGTTGTTCTGTTGGACCTGGTGAGAGGACGCAGGGCCATCCTGGCAGAGCCGGGCAATCAGTATTCTCATATGCACAACCTCACTATCACACCCTCTCTTCTGTCTCTGCAGCTTTGGAGTGGTTCTTCTGGAGCTGGTGACGGGCCGCAGGGCCATCCTGGCTGAGCCAGGCCATAAGTCGGGCGTGGGGCTGGGCAACGTGGCGTCGCTGCTGCAGCGCTCCAAGCGGAATGTCAAGGGGAGCAACATGGAGCCTGGCGCCACCACCACCCTCGTGCAGTGGGTACGTAGATCTTAGGGTTTAGGCCTGTGCGTCCTGTGTGCACACATCATTGCGCAATGTGGCATCACTGCTGCAGCCCTCCAAGAGGGGGCAGCATGGAGCCTGGCGCCACCACCACACTCTTGCAGTGGGTGCGTAGAGCTCAGGGTTCTAGGGTCTTCCTCCCTCCACTCCATCCAGGCCATTCCGCTGATATTTGCAGGCAAGCTCAAGTCAGTGGTGGACCCGTCAATTGCTTGTTGACGGCATCTTATCCCCCTCATCGTGCCTTCCTCCTCCTGACTTTGTCCCCCTCTCGCCCCTCTCCCTCCCTCACAACCCTCCCCCGCTTTGCACTCCCTCTAGGCCATTCCTCTGATCACAGCAGGCAAGCTGAAGGCAGTAGTCGACCCTGCCCTAGAAAACAACTACCCACCAGGAGCGATGAAAGCGCTAGCAGGCGTGGCAGCCATGTGTGTCCAAAAGAGCGCTGCCCAGCGGCCGTCCATGGCTGAGGTGGCGACGCGGCTGTCTGCCATCCAGCACAAGGTACAGGATCTGCACATCCAAGGGGAGGAGCCCAAGTACAACTTCCAACCCACGATAGGAACGGGGGCAACGCCTGCTGCTGCTTCTGGCACTGGTGCGGCAACGACTCTTCCCAGGTCGCAGACACACCCTCGCCCCAAGTCTCCTGCCCCAGTGCCGCCGAAAAAGGCTGGGGAGAAGAAGGCGGGTGGAGCGGCCAAGGGAGGGAAGGTGAGGAAGGAGGGCGGGGTGGATGAAGGGGAGGTGAAGGGGAAGACAGGAGGGAAAGGGGTTATCAGGGCCAAGAGTGCGACACAACCTTATTTGGGAGCTAAGGATGCGGTGGAGTTCAGTGTTCAACATGTGACGGGTCGATATATGGCAACGTTTTGAAGTGGTGGTACGGCAGGGTTATATAATGCTAACAGATCAGAACTTGTATTCAGATTGCGTTTGCTGTATACGTAACTGCTCATTATCCATGCCTCCGCCAGATCCCTTGGTTTGCGGTCTTGGAGGGAAACGGAGCATGGGGTGCTCCTGGTTGTCGGGACCACGCCAAAACACCGCCAAAACAGGATCTGAATCCTGATTGGCCAATGTTAGCTAGCTTAGGCCCCCTGTCAGATGCTTCGGCCCTGACCAGAATGTCGTGCCGCCTACTATGGAGAAGAGATGTCTAGATCATGTTCTCGAAGGTGCCACGTCAACAGCTTCCCGAACATCATACCCGCACGTTTGTCCCAACTACGCCAGCATTTTGTTGCTGCGGTCCCCACACGCCACACGGCAAGTCGTCGACACAAGTTCCGAGCCTTAGGTTGTCAGCCTCGGAAGGAGGCCCGCGCATACCTGAGGCGCAATGTGGGCTCGTTTAGTTTGGTTCCGAGCCAAACAGATGTCAGCCAGGGAAAGGTCCCCGCGATAAGAGCTCTGGTGTGTGTTTCTCGCGTGCTCCCGCCTAGTTCGGCAGGTCAATCTCGACCGTCTGACCACCGATGTATTCAAGGCTCTTTCGTACGGGATGCGTTTGGAAAGAGGGAGGCTTGTTGTGATTCTCCTTACCTTTTGGCCTAAGTCTGTGACTGAATCTCTTACCACTTCAGTGATCAAAAGTTCTGAGTTAGTCACAGATCCTAGACAGGCTTTTCAGCTCACCCACTTGAGCTGTGTTTCCTAAGGAGGCTGATCACCATGACTCTGGAGACTGAGGTCATCTCTCAAGCAACATCCCCGTCCTCCAACTTCACAGCCGCCATGTCCAGGGAAACGCCACTGTACTACGTCTGGCCGGCGACAGAGCCTCTCGTGCAGAATTTCGAGTGGAAGGTCGATGAGACGCCGGTGTCGAACCTTGTGTTGATGCTCTGCACGTGTATGGGCTACGTCGCGTTCATTCTAGGTCTGAAATGGTATCGGACCAAGCACAAGATGGCTCCAGTGAATCTGGGCCTCCTCCCCGCCATTCACAATCTGATCCTGTGCCTCTGGTCCCTGGCGATGTTCTTGGGCATCATCCACGCAATGCTTCTGGATTCCGAGATCAACAAGTACAACACCGGCATGGTATGGCATAATGACAATGCTTGCTATCCCTGTGCTAATTACGGCAGATCCGGTTATTCACACTGCATTCCGTTTCTTTGTTTGCAGGGCAAGTATACTTGGCTTCTCTGTTTCCCGTCGACTGTGAAGCCCGTCGGTTATCTGTGGTTCTGGAGCTACATTTACTACCTTAGCAAGTACTACGAGCTCCTGGATACTGTCATCCTGGTGCTGAAGAACAAGCCGCTATCGTTCCTGCACGTGTACCACCATGCAACCATCGTCTTCCTCTGCTGGCTGTGGCTAACTGTAAGTTTCTTAACCTTGAACTCATTCATTCTATACTATGTCGAACCCTTAGCTTACAAGGCATTAGCAATGAACAAACATTCGCACTTTTAGTTGAGTTAACAAACGAGATCCACGTACGCAATGCAATTCTAGACGAAAGAGTCACACAGCGTTAAGTATTGTGTTTCCCGTTGTGTCCTCTCATTACGTTTGAGCAGAACTGTCAGTCGCTCCAGGTCATCGCAATCACCATTAACACGGGGATCCACGTCATGATGTACTTCTACTACTTCATGCACAGGTAAGAGATCCTGCCGTTAGGTAAAGAATCCGGTCGTTGATTGGAATATCCTGTCACTTCCAGTTCCGTGATCAGAACTATTGCCTACATTGCCTGCTCGCAAATTCTAACGTCGAGTGTCGCCTGTTTCTGCGCTTTCGATTTACAGCATCGGCATGCCTCCTCCTTGGAAGATGTTTGTCACCAACAGCCAGATCATTCAGGTACATGTTCCTCTTTGATTTTATGCCTCCAACAAGAGAGTTCCTTGTACTTGTCTCGCGAACGAACATGTCCGTAACAATCTCGTCGAACTGACGTTTGCGTTTCGCGTTTCCGCTTTTGCAGTTCATGATCGGCACTTTCGTCGCGTTCCCGCTGATCTACTTCCACTTCACCCGACCTACTGGCTGCGCCGGATTCGAGTCGTTCTGCTTTAACCTCTTCTTCAACTCCTCGCTCCTCTACCTCTTCGTCGACTTCCACATTCGCAACTACGGGAAGGCCGCGAAGGCAGGCAAGGGTGGCAAGCGGGCCAAGAGGGATTAAGTTATTGAAGGCTCCCGTCCTCCTAATGCTGGCAGTTGATTGGACTGAGCGAGGTGGTCGATACGTCCGGTGTAGCGTTAGGGGCTGGAGCTGCTAGCTGTCTCTTCACGCTTAGGGTTGAGCTGAAGTGGTAGCATTTCAGTTGACTTGCTTAGGGTTTTCATTCACGTGTGTCAACATTGTGTTCAGTTTTGTCAGGTCACTTCAGTCACTCTTCCCCTCCTTCGGTGCGACGCTTATTGCCAGCCATAGCGGGGGTTCGTCGCATACCTGCCGGTGCCTGTATCTGAACCTCCTAACTGATAGTTTCCGTTCACAGTCGTCATCTCCCCACTTCCTTCAGGTCTCTGCGGTCCATCCCCACTGCCATTTGGCTGCCGCCATCTGTTCTTCCTCTCCCCCCTTCCTCTTTCTCTTACGCTAAACCCTTCCTATCCCCTGTTCGCCGTATCCCCCTACTCTCTCCCTCCCCATGTCCCGCTACTCTCTCTCTCCCCCAACTCCCTTCCTCTACTACCCCCCCTCCCTGTGTCCACCCCCGTCCTCTCCACCCTGTCGTTTCCTCTACCTCGTTCTCTCCCACTGCACTTCTCACCCCTCCCTGGGTCTCCCTGACGCCCACCACCTCTCTTGTGGCGCCTTTTCTCCCTCCTGTATCCCTTGCCCCTTACGCTAAGTCCTACTCGTCACGTTCCGCTAGTTAGACACGGCAGTAATCAATGAGCTCGAGGCGTATTCAATGAGTACTAAAACCAATGGAAGTAATGCTACTGAGAAATATCTCCAGCCACGGTTGGCTGAGTGATGGTAGTTCAGCAAGAAATGAAGGGCGACTGATGACCTGCCATCATAATGGCCCGTCTCCTCCCCTACTCCCAGCCATAACTCACCACTGAGTTTAGTCCAAGAAATGATGCTACAACCTACCTCTAGCACATTTCCCTTTACCTCATCCTAAATGTTCTGGATGGGGCCTTTAGGTTAACTTTAGCAGCCTAGAGATACTTAACTTGCTTACACTGACTAGCGACATAAAAGGAGGAATACACCTCATTCTGATTTACTTTTATGCGAAGTGGCAAAAATTTTAAGCGGGAAAGGGATGTCGTACAGCGGGGAATACCACATGTTGAAACAGGGCATGCCAATTCCCGACCATTCCTTGCTCAGCAGCGCCAGTTATTTACGGCTCATTCTAAATCTAGCCTCTAACTGCGAGTCGCGGTAAACAGGACAGGCGTGTCTTCAGCAGTGCAAATCGTCACTCGACATAGTCGTCCGGGTCTCATATTATTACGGCGTGAGGGTTTAAAAATGGCTATTTCTCATTCCCAAATGCCGTTTAATCTAGCAGGACCAGTCCTTAGCGGAGGCCTGGCGGCTAGGCAACTCAGTCCGAGACCGGCCATTTTCGCGTGTTCCCAATCGAACAGGAAGCTTGCAGCGGAGCGCATGGGGAGAGCCGTAGGGAGGTTTCTAGGGGGTGCCAGTGAGTTCCCGAGTGATCTAGGGAGCGGGCGGCAGCTAGCCGGTTCTGCTCGTCACACGCAAGACCGTCCAGGTTCATTGCACCCCCTTCGGTCGAGTGCAAGGTGGAGTCGAAGTGTCATTGTCGCCCAAGCAACCCCGGGAGGGTCCACGGGGGAAACCAAAGGGGGAGAAACCGCGCGCGCAACAAGGGAGTCGCTGACGTCACTGCAGGAATCGCTGACGCAGCTTCTGGGCGCAATGGGGCTCCTGGCGAGCGCGGTAGGGGAGGTTGCGCGGGCGGCGGGGGAGGTGGCGGAAGCAGCAGGCGCGGAAAGGGGAAGCAGGGGAAGCGGTAGGGGGACTGGATCGGATATAGCAGCAACCGCGGCTGCTGCTGCTGCTGCTGCGGCTGCGACGTCTGCTGCTGCTGCTGCAGCAGCGGCAGGAGGAGAGGTGGCAAAGGCCGCAGCAGCTGCTGCCGGTGCTGCCGCTGTTGCTTCTGCCAACGCAGCAGCAGCTGTTGCACCAGCAGCACCAGCAGCACCAGCAGCATTAGAAGCAGCAGCTGTAGCGTCAGCTAGGGGTCAGGACGGGGGCAGGGTTGGGGGAAGGAATGAGGGGGGGGGGTTGGGGGAAGGAATGAGGGGGGGAGGGTTGGGGGAAGGAATGAGGGGGGGAGGGGAGGGGGAGGTGAAGGGGGGAGGGGAAAAGGGCTTGAAGGGCATGAGCTGGCGCTGGCTCTGCAGCGCGCGTTTGTGCAAGCCAGGATCGAAGGGCTGGGGAAACCGAAAGAGGTGTGTTTGGGAGTGTGAGTGTGAGTGTGACGAGGGGGGAAGAGGAGGTGAAAATGGGAGGGGAAGAGTGTTTGAAGGCCATGAGTGGCTCTGCAGCGCGCGTTTGTGCAAGCCAGGATCGTAGGGCTGGGGAAACCAAAAGAGGTGTGCGTGCGTGTGTGTGTGTGTGTGTGAGTGCATGTGTGTGTGTGTGCGTGCGTGCTTACGTGCGTGCGTGCATGCTTGCGCGTGCATGCGTGTGTGTGTGCATGTGTGTTTTCGTTGGCGTTTTCTCTGTAGTCGCCGTTTCATCCCATATCTTTCCCATGGTCTTTACTCTTCTCCTTACAACCCCTTCCTTCCTCCCCCCCTTCTCCCTTTGAAGCGCCTAAAAAATAGACTATCTCTGTCCCAAGGTCGCTACTCTCCGCCTTACAATCCAATCCTTCCTCCTCCCCTTCTCCCTTCCCTCAGGAAGCCCTGAGCGACTTTGTAGATCCGTGCATGGCAGCATGGGTGCAGTCCCTGGGCTTTCTTATCTGCTGCTGCTTATTAAACCTGCTGTTTCTTATCTGTTTCCTTCCCTCCTCCCTTCTCCCTCCTCTGCTCCTCTGCTCCTCCCCTCCTCCCCTCCTTCCCTCCTCCCCTCCTCCCCTCCTCCCCTCCTCCCCTCCTCCCCTCTCAGGAGGCGCTAAATGACTTTGTAGACGCATGCATGGCGGCACGAGCGCATTCCCTGGGCTTTAAGGACCTCCAACTAAAGCTGCTGCTAGCCGAGGCTGCTCTGCCCGCCCCTTTCTCCATGATGGGCGGTGATAGCTCTTGGGAAGGGGGGGAGGTTGGACGGGAGGGAGAGGAGAGAGAGGAGGGGAGAGAGGAGGGGAGAGAGGAGGAGGGGAGAAAGGAAGGAGGAAGCGAGGAGGAAGCCGAAGGTGGGAAAGCAGGGGGAGGAGGTGCGGAGGGGGAGGGGGGGGAAGGGGGGGAGGAGGAAAGGGTTGAAAAGGATCTGGACAGCGATGATGAGAGAAGGGACAGCTCGCTTAAAGCCCTTCGAGGGCCCTTTCTGGCCGAGGTGAGTACAGTCAGCCTGAAGTGAAAAGAGTGGAGGAGGGAGGGGGAGAGGGAGGGGTGGAGGGGGGTTCAGATAGCCATGAAGAGAGATGGGACAGCTCGCTAAAAGCTCTTCGGGGGCCCTTTCTGTCTAAGGTTGGCATTGGGGATGCTTTTGAGTCGACTCAAAAGCAGACATGAGAGATAGGGCTTGAAGCCGTGGGGCACGTGCAAGGGAGGACGTGGAGGGAGTAAGAGTGATCGGCTTGGCACAATTTATTGGCCATATATCAAATTATCATGTCCTATTGATTCCCTTCGCTTCCTGTCTCTCCACGTGTTTGCTTCTTCTGTTATCAGTTATCCGTTATCCGCCCCCCTTATTGCCATCCTCAACAGGAGGTGCGAGTGCGCACGCTGTGGGTGAGGCTAGTGTACACAACACTGAATACGGTACGTCTAAGTGCTCTCGGGTCACGTCTGTCCTTGTGTGATTATGGCTTGTTCTAACTTGTTCTGCAATAAGGTACTCAATATGGTGGGCGTGGGGTGAACACCTGGTACCTCCCCTTCTTCCACAGCCACAACCTTTTTTTTTTTTGGGGGGGGGCTTTAAGGAGATCCCAGGAGCCACAACCTTCTGCACTCAAAATGGTACCTCCATTTTTTAGGCGCTTAAAAAATAGACTCCGCAGAAATAGGCCACTATACAACCTTCCGCACTCAACACGGTGGGGTGAACACCTGGTACCTCCCTCCCATGCTGGGAATAACACCACTTTTGTCATCCCCTCCCTCCCCCCCCCCCCGCCTCTCCCCCTAACACCAAGTGAACAATATAAAGCGTGGAGAGGGGTACGAGGGGATCGTGTTTGGCAGACATCTTAGGACTTTCTCCCTGGTCCAAACACCCCACCCCCGGTCCACACACCACACCCCTGGTCCAGACACCCCGGGGCCTTCTCCCGTCCACACCCTCTCCTTACCCCCCCCGTTCCCCCTATCACCAGGTGGACAATATAAAGCGAGGAGAGGGGTACGAGGGGGTCGTGTCAGCAGACGGGTTGCAGCCCCCTGAACCCACCGATGGATTTGTACAGCAGGTATGGCACCAGTGGCGTCTCTTGTCCTTTTGCAACAGGTATGGCACCAGTGGCGTCTCTTGTCCTTATGCAGCAGGTATGGCACCAGTGGCGTCTCTTGTCCTTATGCAGCAGGTATGGCACCAGTGGCGTCTCTTGTCCTTTTGCAGCAGGTATGGCACCGGTGGCTCCTCTTGTCCTTTTGCAGCAGGTATGGCACCAGTGGCGTCTCTTGTCCTTTTGCAGCAGGTATGGCACCAGTGGCATCTCTTGTCCTTTTGCAGCAGGTATGGCACCAGTGGCGTCTCTTGTCCTTTTGCAGCAGGTATGGCTCCAGTGGCGTCTCTTGTCCTTTTGCAGCAGGTATGGCATCGGTTGTCTGAGGGGGCCGACGGGTGCACGTAGACGCTGGTTCTCTGTTCACATGCCGTGTGTGGATGCTCATTTCAAGATGCCACCCATTAACTCTTCATCGCTCTTCACCGCACTTCACTGCGCGTCACGTTGCTTCACCCTGCATCACCCCTCTTCACCCCACTTCACCCGTCTTCACCTCTTTCAGACCATCAAGGCAGCATTTGACCAGGGCAGGGACTACGAATTTGTGCGGAGAGAACAGGTACCACCTGATAAGGTACTATGCGAGCAGGTACTATTCGAGCAGGTACTATCTGAGCATGCGAGCAGGTACCATGCGAGCAGGTACTATCCGAGCAGGTACTATCCGAGCAGGTACTATCCGAGCAGGTACTATCCAAGCAGGTACTATCCGAGCAGGTACTATCTGAGCAGGTACTATCGGAGCAGGTACTATCGGAGCAGGTACCGTCTGAGCAGTCTCCCCTGTATGCCACCCTTCAGCAGATTCACCTGTCCAATCCCAACCCCATGCAGTCATCTCATCTCCATGCCCTCCAAACTTCCTCTTCTTTACCCCCACTCCCCTTCTCCCCTCCCCCTCCTCTGTTCCTCCCCTCCTCCCTATCGTGGCACTGGGACGGCCATGTCCAACCTCCTCTCTCTCTACAGAGGGTTCTAGGGAGGCTTTCCCTGGGGAAGGTGGGTATATGGAGCCTAACTCTCCTGAGGATATCCTTTCTTGTCCCAGTGGTTAGGACTGGTGACTTCACGACTTGGTATCAGAGCGATCCAGGGTTCAACTCCTGGCGTACACGCTATCCCAGCGGGGTGTGTGTTTTGGCACTGGGATGGCCCTGTCAAACCTCCTCTCTCTCTAGGGAGGGTACTAGGGAGGTTTTCCCTGGGGAAGGTGGATATATGGAGCCTAACTCTCTTGAGGATATCCCTTCTTGTCCCAGTGGTTAAGACAGGTGATTTTATGACACTCCCCTCCCCCCCTCTCCCCTCCTCTCGTCCCCACAGGAGACCCAGTTGAAACCAGTGCCCCCTTCTATTGCCACCCTGCAGCAGATTCAGCTGCTCATTCTGTTGGCGCTATCCAAGGGCATGGCTGCTGGCTCGTAGCAGTAAGGCGCTTTGGCTGGCTGGTACCAGGGCCATCACTTGCGTCTACCTCAATGCAGGCCCAGGTGGCTCCAGTGCCCGCCTTGTAGGAGCCGCCCTGCAGCAGATTCAGCTGCTCATTCTGTTAGTTCTATCCAAGGGCACGGCTGCTGTCTCGTAGCAGGTGACATGCTGCTGCGTTTTGAGTGGATGGAGTCAATGGCCCTTTATTGGCTCTGGTACCAGTACCCACCCACTCGCAGATTCCGCTGCTTGCTCATTCTCTTGTCCTGGCGCTATCCAGAGGCATGGCTGCTAGGTTTTAGTAATGAGTGTCGGTTCTATCATCCTTTTGTGATCACAATTTACAATACCGAAAGCCACCTGTGGCTTGTTTTTTCTTGTTTCTGATTGATTCATTATTGCGGTATAGTATCACACCCCCCCCACTAATGGTTCACTGCCTGGGAATGCTTGAAAAAACAAAAGTGAGCATACTAGACTTTGAAGTAGCCTTCAAGTTGAATGTTACAGAGACAATAACATGCAAGTTAACTTTTGAGTGGTACATGCACAACTTGGTTGGCAAGCTGCCAACCAAAACACAGGGGAAGAAGGAACTACATCTGTACCCAGCAGCAGGCTCTATGTAGGGCCCGGCGGCAGGCTCTTTCTGTGCCGAAGGTTTGGTTTGGGAGGCGGAGTGGACTGGCTGAGGAAGGCAGAAATGGCCGAAACAAGCGCGCGAGGGAGACACACAGCGAGAGGGCTGTGAGGAAAGAAGGGTGCATGCATGAATCCCATGCCTCCAAAAAGAGATCTGCTGCGAGAGGGCTGTGAGAGGGCTGTGATAGGGCTGTGAGAGGGCTGTGATAGGGCTGTGATAGGGCTGTGAGAGGGCTGTGATAGGGCTGTGAGAGGGCTGTGATAGGGCTGTGATAGGGCTGTGAGACTGCTGGTGCTCAGGTGCTCAGGTGCTCAGGTGGAAGGCATGGCATGGGTTGGGCGGAATGGTGAGGGAGGCCAGAGACGGGCAATCGGCAGAGAGAGAGAGGGCGAGGGTCGCTAGAAGTGATGTGCTGCTCTCTCAATTAACGAGGTGGAAAACTGGCTCGCCGGGAGGCATGAGTTGGGCGTCACCTGCTGAGGTGGAGCAGTGGCTTGCTGGGAGGCATGGGTTGGGCGGTGGAGTGTTGAGGGAGGACGGAGATGGGGAGAGAGAGGGCGGGGGGGGCCATAGAGTTGCTTGCTGGTGTGTCAATTGCGGAGGTGGAACAGTGGCTTTGCTGGGAGGTGGTTGGTAGTGGGATGGTGGCGTGGCGAGGGATGGGGAGAGAGAGAGCGAGCGGCACCAGAGAGTTGCTAGTGTCTCAACTGCTGGCAGCTGGGAGGCATGGATTGGGCGTCAACTGCTGAGGTGGAAGACTCGCTTGCTGGGAGGCATGGGTTGGGCGGTGGAGTGGTGAGGGAGGACGGAGATGGGCGAGCGACGGGGAGAGAGGGCGGGTGAGAGGGACGAGGGGGAGAGAGAAGGGGAGGAGAGAGAGGAGAATGGGGAGGAGGAGCGAGGGGGGGGGGAGCGAGAGGGGGAGGATTGTGGGGAGGATCGGGGGGAGGGCGTAGTGGATTTTTGCACAGGGGGGTGTGAGTGTGTGTGTGAGAGGGATGGGGAGGAGTGAGACTTGGGGGGTAGAAGGGAGGTGGGGCGTGGTTGGGAGGGGGAGGGTGACCGGCTGGAAGGGGAGGAGGAGGTTGGAGAGGCAGAGAGGGGAGAAGAAGAGGGGGATAAGGAGGGGGAGGTGGAAGCAAGAGAGGAGGCGGAGGCGGAGGGGGAGGGGGAGGGGGAGGCTGGGGTTCGGGTGAATAGGAGGCTCGCAGAATACATGTTGCTGCTGCCGGTCTTGAGGGCTTGCACTCTCTTGGGACCGATCTGATGGGGCGAGGGTGGGTGGAAGAGAGGAGGGGCGGGCGGGGGGGGAGGGGGGAGGGAAGGAGGGGAGGGGAGAGGAAAGAGTGAGAGAGAGAGTGGGAATACATGCTGCCGCACCCCCATGACCTTTCCTTCCGCACCCCCATGACCTTTCCTTCCGCACCCCCATGACCTTTCCTTCCACACACCCATGCATACCTTTCTGCACAGCATGCTGCAGGTAGCAGCCGCCTGTCACAGCGTTTCCCGGTCAGAACCCATGCATGATGCACAGGCAGCAGCATACACACAGGCATCCTCACCTTTCGGGACAGGTGCATTTTGAGTCGACTCAAAACACTCCTGGTGAGAACCCATGCAGAGGGCGGCAGGAGACACACATGGCATGGCATCCTCACCTTTCTGAAGAGCATGCTGCAGGTGGCAGGGAGGTATTGCGCCAGGTACATGAGCAGCAGCACGGGCTGGGTTCACAGCGGGGAACAATGTCGTGGGGGTAGAGGGAAGAAGCATGGCGTTGTGAGTGTATAGAGGTGGGGTTGAGAGCAGCACACTGTCGCATGGAAGGGGAAAATTACAGCGTGGGCTGGAGGTTACAGGCAAGGAGGAAGGAGGGGGGGGATGCGGGTTATGGGGAACGGAGGCTCTGTGTGGTGGAAATGATGTGGTTGGGTTGGGTGCAGAAGCAGCAGCATGAGCCAGCAGCAATACGAGAAGCATCTTAGGTTCACATGTAAATTCATTCAAGACTTTGTGATTTCCCACGCAGCAGCAGCAGCCCCTCACTCACTACCATCTTTTCACCAGCACAACGTGGTGCCATGAGATCTTTGAGGAGCCGCTTAAAGAATGAAACGTTAAGACACTCACATGTTTGGAGATCCACGCTTCCTCGAGTCTCCAAGCAGCAGCATTCACGATAAGCTGAGCACAGCGAGATGCTGGCATGCGGGAGTCCTGAGAGAGGAGGGAAGGGAGAGGAGGGGGAGGAGAGGGAGAGGAGGGGGAGGAGAGGGAGAGGAGAGAAGGGTAGCGAGACAGCGGATTAGTTTACAACCAGCTGAGCACAGCGAGATGCTGGCATGCAGGAATCCTGAGAGAGGACGGAAGGGAGGAGAGGGAGGAGGGAAGAGAGGAGAGGAGGGAGGAGAGGAGAAGTGGGAGGAGAGGGACGAGTGGGAGGAGAGAAGGGAGAAGAGGAGGGAGAAGAGGAGGAGAAGGAGGAGTGGGAGGAGAGGGGAAGAGAACGGCAACGTGAGGGAGGAGTAGGGATCGGATCAGCAAAGACTCAGGCTCGTTTACAAGTAGCTGAGCACAGCGCAGTGCTGAACAAGGCAAACGACTGTGCTATCGGGGCAAATAGATGCAAGTGTGACCTCTTCCCTTACCATATCCCCCCCTCCCCCTCCCCACCAACCCCCCCTTTCCAAATCCCCCCACTCCTTGTGTAATCCCCCCACTCCTTGTGTAATCCCCCCACTCCTTGTGTAATCCCCCCACTCCTTGTGTAATCCCCCCACTCCTTGTGTAATCCCCCCACTCCTTGTGTAATCCCCCCACTCCTTGTGTAATCCCCCCACTCCTTGTGTAATCCCCCCACTCCTTGTGTAATCCCCCCACTCCTTGTGTAATCCCCCCACTCCTTGTGTAATCCCCCCACTCCTTGTGTAATCCCCCCACTCCTTGTGTAATCCCCCTACTCCCGCTCTCTAACCACCAAGACCCCTCCACCGTTATTTCTCAACGTCCCTTCCCACGTCACAGTGTCATGTACCCACCCACCTTCTCCTCTCCCCCTTCTCCACTTGTGTTCTCCTGCACCTCCCGCGAGGACCAGGAGGCACCCAGTTGAGAAGAGGGGGATGCGGAAGGGGGAGACTTGGGGGAAGAAGCTGGGGAGGAGGAGGAGGAGGAGGAGGAGGAGGAGGAGGAGGAGGAGGAGGAGGATTTATCTGAGGCGGATTCTATTGACCCCTTGGCGGAGCCCGCAGTGGGGGACGGTGGGGCGGAGTGAGCGGGGGAAGATTGCCTGGACGCGGATTTGATTGCCCCCTCGGCGGAGCCCGCAGTGGCGATGGGGCCGGGGCACACGAGGGTGACGGCCACACCGTGCTGCACCGCTTCGTACCGCAGCGTGTTGAAGTACCCATGCAGGGCGTGTTTAGTGGCTGCGTAAACGCCTTGAGTGGGTGCTGGGAGCTTGCCTGCGGCACTGCTCACCTGTGGTGGAGGGGACAGTGCCAGGGGGAATTGGAAGGAGGGGGAGTGAGGGGGAGTGAGGGGGAATGGGTTGGGCTAGCTTCGTGGTAGTGTATACAGGGTGTATACCCCTTGAGTCAGCACTGGGAGCTTGCCTGCTGCACTGCTCACGTGTTTTTGACAGGGGGGTAGACCAGAGAAGAGTGCGGGGGGGAATTGGAAGGGGGGGGGGGTGAGGGGGAGCAATGAAGGGCGCGCACTGTTGCACAACTTGTGCGACACAACTTGCAACAGCGCGCACAACTTGTGCAACACAACTTGCAACAGCGCGCACAACTTGTGCAACACAACTGGCAACAGGGTGCCAGACAGGGTGCCTGGAAAGCACATGCAGCAACGAGATGGGAGTATACTCCACAAGGATTTTCCCTGCTCTATTTCGCTATAGGCTTGTTTCCCTCCTTGCTACAGTCGCTATGAGCTTGTGCCCCTATAACTTGTGAGCACGAACAACAAGGCTTTTGAGGCGCCTCAAAAGCGCCCTCGCTACAGTCGCTATGAGCTTGTGCCCCTAGAACCTGTGAGCACGAACAACAAGGACAGTGCAACGTGGAACTTCTCACTGCGAGGATCTGTCAAGCAGATTCTCCCTTCCTCACCCATTGCTCGACAGGGTGTCTCGTACCATGTACAAGCAAATTTTCCCTTCCTCACAGCAGCACTCACCACTAGGATCTGCCCCTTGTTCCGTTGCATCATGAACGGTAAGAGGTAGCGAGTGAGCTCGATGGTGGCAACCACATTCACTTCTAGCATGCCCTGATGGGGGTGCGGTATGTGGGGGTGGTGGGGGGTGGGGGGGGGTGGGGGGGTTGGGGTAGGCATGAGCACGGGGCGAGGCGAGGATTCCTTGACCCGAGGATCTCATCCTCGTTCCATAGCCGGGGCGGGTCGAGGAATCCTCGCCGAGGATTTTTCTTGAAAATCCCCCCTCGACCCCCGGGTTTTGGGGTCGAGGATTGAAATCCTCGCCTCGAGGATTAATTCCTTGACCCGGGGCGAGGATTCCTTGACCTGGGCGGCTGGGGGTTTTAGGGGGGGGGGGGAAATGGGAACATGTTCGGGAAGAATGAGCCTTATCCAGGTTTTCCTCGCGAGGATACAAAATCCTCGCCCATTTGCCTCGAGGAAAAGTCGAGGCCTCGAATCCTCGCCAGGGCGGGGCGAGGATTCCTCGCGAGGATTTTTCCCAGAAATCCTGCCTCGACCCCCGGAATTTCGAGGCGAGGATTTCCGAGGCGAGGAAATCCTCGCCTCGTTGCTCATGCCTAGGTTGGGGGGGGTGGGGGGGAGATGCAGGAAGAGGGAGACGAGGAGGGAGTGGAGAATGGAGGAAGGTAGCGAGAGAGCTCGATAGTGGCAACCACGTTCAGTTCTAGCATGCCCTTGTGTGGGCAGAAGGGGGAGCAGAGTGTGTAGGGAGACGCGAATATTTTTGAGGCGCCTCAAAAATAGTCTTCCAGCATGCCCTTGTGCGGGCAGACGGGGGAGCAGAGTGTGTAGGGGGACGATTTTTGAGGCGCCTCAAAAATAGACTCCTCACGCAGAAGGGGGAGGAGAGTGTGTAGGGAGACGCGAATATAGGGAACTGGGTAAGGTAGCGACTGAGCTCGATATAGGGAAGTGGGTAAGGTAGCGACCGAGCTCGATATAGGGAAGTGGGTAAGGTAGCGACTGAGCTCGATATAGGGAAGTGGGTAAGGTAGCGACTGAGCTCGATAGTGGCGCCTTACGTTGACTTCTAGCATCCGCTGGTGGGACGCAGGAGGTGGGGAATGTGGAGAGGATGCAGGGAAGAGGACAAGGAGTGATGAAGTGACTTTTGAGTCGACTCAAAAGTCTCCCCTGGGTGAGGAGTCTATTTTTGAGGCGTCTCAAAAATAGACTCCTTGCGCAAGAGTGATGAAGTGACTTTTGAGTCGACTCAAACGTCTCCCCTGGTGGGACGCATGGGGTGGGGAATGTGGGGAGGATGCAGGAAAGAGGACAAGGAGTGATGAACGGCGGAAGAGAAGGAGATAGGTAATAGGTATGGATGAATGGAGAAGTTGTGGAATAATTACCCCTAAAAAAGAAGGTGGGAAAAAGAAGGGTAGTACAGCTGGACGCACCCTGAGTGTGTCCTCTGGCGTCTCTTCACATGTCAGCTTCTGCTCCGACAAGCAGCATGCATATTCACGAGAGGGGAGGGGGGGGGAGGAGAATAAGGGGGGAACAAGGAGAGAAATGAGCACAAGGACATACGAATGAAGAATGGCCACATCACTCACCCAGAAGGCTAGAAAAACACTTAAAGGTGAGTGATGTGGCTAAAATATGATACTCCCAACTGTTGGGACTATCATCCTTTAGCAGTACCCAGCAGCCTGCCAATAAGCCTACTGTGTTGGTGTGTGGGATCGGACACTCACCGGGCGGGGATGGGTGGCATTGAGAACTAGCACGTCAACACCAGCACTGGACACCCACAAGGGATATGTGTAGGACACTCACCGGGGATGTGTGGGATAGGACACGGGGATATGTGGGATTGGACACGGGGATATGTGGGATTGGACACGCACCGGGCGGGGATGGGCGGCGTTGAGAACTAGCACGTCAACGCCACAGGGGTGTAGCCCCCCACCAGGCGACTCCTCCGCGCAGAACGCGTCCTCCGCCTTGCGCACTGCGCCGCGCAGCACCTCCGCCCCCCCCTTGAGATCGAACGGCACGATCACCACCCCCTCCGGCGCGTGCTTCCCCCGGCATGCCGCTTTCACCGCTTCCAGTCGCTCCGCCGAGCGCGCGGAGAGGATCAGCCGCGCGCCCATCGCCGCAAACCGCTGCGCCAGCTCCTGGCCTGCCGAGACGCGCGGGGGAAGGGGGCGGGGAGGGTGGAAAGGGGGGGAGGGGAGGAGGCGGGAGCACTCTTAGTTAAGACACAGTCGCGCGCCCATGCGCGCGAGGAGCTGCGCCAGCTCCTGGCCTGGTGAATGCGCACCTCAGGAGGGAATGGGGGGTTGTATGAGGGGATGAAGGGGGAAGAAGAGGGGGGGGGGGGAGGGGGCGTATAGGGAGAGGGGCAAAGATGGGAAGGGACAATTGTGCTTGTATCGATTTCGGAACTGTCTAAGCTACACCACCCACCATGTAACTAGTACACCACCATTTGATTTGTAACTAGTACACCACCACTCACCAATTCCCTGGCTCGCGCCTGTGATCCACACCACCTTATCCTCAAACGCTCCCTCGCGCGGCGCCCCCTTGAGCAGCAGCGTCAAGTCCGCTGCAGCAACGGAGAAAAAGGGGAAGAGCACACACGTAGCGCGAGAGACGAATGTTATCGAGTCGACTCAAAAGCGGACCCTCTAGCAGCAGCGTCAAGTCCGCTGCAGCAACGGAGAGCGGGGGGGGAGGGGGGGGAGTTACACGTGAAATGAGAGACGGGGAAAGCACACGCAGAACGCGAGAGATGCGTGCGCAGGCGAAAATTTGCCGTGAGAGACGCAGAGTCAGGACGAGGGTGCTCGAGATATTCGAGACGATAGTAAGATTGTCGCGTAACTATAAGACGCAACTGAGAAGGGGCTGAAGACGGTGCGCTCGTACAATCAGCAGTAAGGAAGAATACGAGTCGCCAGATTACCAGGAAGAGGTGCATTTTGAGTCGACTCAAAATTAACACAAGGGCACGACGAGGAGAGAGTTCGTACCATCAGCAGAAAGGAAGAATACGATTCGCCAGATCACCAGGAAGAGCATGAGCGCTCCCGTGGCTACACTCGCGAGAAGGACGGGATCTGACGTGTCCATCGTCGAAAGCGACGTCAGCGCTGACGCGGAGGAGTCGAGAGCAAAGTCGGTAGACAGTGCGATAGAGCCAAGTCGGTGCTGCAGCCCTCGAGATCCCAAGGTCTCGATAGCCGCTCAACGGGACACGGGAGTGAATCCGCTCAGTGGTACCTCAACGATAGCTCCAACGGAACAGGCAAATGGTCAACCGCGACGATATTGCTCAACGCGCAGCGGAATGGTCAAGCGCTCAGCGAAAACTCTAAAAGCTCAATGGGCGAGGTTCAATGGTTTATAGCTCGATGTCCCCTGTCGATCACGGACACACGGACTTCTCCTCTCCACTCTATCCGCTCTACACTTCCCCCCAGTGGTGAGTGCTGGAAATCAAGTACCAACAGGGATTTTGAACCAACTATACACCTCACTTTTACTACAGCAGCGGCAGCGGCAGCACGCGTGCTTCCGTCGAGTCACTCGTTCGTCAGTCTACTCTAGTCTAGCTGGCCTGCTTGATTTTTATCGACGCCAGCCAGAGAAGCCCAACCACAAAATCTCTGTTGTTGGGTCCAACGAGGCTTCTCCTAAACTCTCAAGGGGAGCAGGAGCTAGTATCGAGGTTGGTGATAATCTATCGTTGGCTTGAACGAGTCTCGGCGGAAGTATCGAGGGGGATATTGGTTTGGTTGGTTTCGTTGTTTCCTCGCTCCGTGTTTCAAGCATCACCTGCGCGGTACGGCTCAGCTGTGTTCAAGGCGCACCGGTATTTTGGGATGCTCGAATAAGATCGACGGTTCTAATTGGGAGAGGAAGGGGCTGCCGCTGTGGGCAGATCGGATATCGACGGCCGAGAGATGGTCGATGCGATTGGGTAAGGCATGGGGACGATGGAGGGCGGAAGGGAATGGTTGGGGGGGGGGGGAGGAGGGTTGAAGGCGGTGTGCGCTTTGCGAACCTGAGAGAGTCCATGCGAGGAGCGAAACGACGCCACGTCATTGCTCAGCGACAACAGTCGCCAGGGCTGGGCGAGGGTGGAGGAGTGCTGCTTGGAACGACAGCGCTCCGCCCCTGACCTGCCAATGTCGCTGACGACATGTGGTTACAAATGATGTGACTCGCTGCGACAAATATTTTGATGGGTGGTCGTCGCACAATCGCAGTATTAATGGTTCGATTCAGATCCAACGGATGAGGCGTCCGCTGCACCGTCGCGCCTCCGAGGTGCAGCTCCTGACGTCTGACGTCACAGTACAGTGCCATAGAATCACATTTCGGTGTTGTGCGGCTGCCAGAGACCTTTTGGAGGCGATTCAGACATCATCACCTGCGCCAAACCAACACCTGGACCCCGACATACAGGACCGAACATTTGGCAACACCGTCATTGTCCTCACAGCCTACAAGCGAGGGCGCTGCGAGTGTGTGGTTGCCGTGATGCTCCCGATACTGTGCTGTCTTATAGGGAACGAGAATGGGAGAGGTGGTATATTCAACGAAATACGTAGCTCGTTCTACTTGGCTACAGTCTATGAGTTAACGAACATGCATTCTCATTCTCAGTTCACTCAGAAAAACCCATCGTGACAGTGAGAACCCTGGTTACTAAGACGTTTTCGCAAGAGCATCGTTCTCCCCAGAAGTCTCAAAGATCGCTTTGGTTTTGATTTCGCTTGGTTCAGGTGAGATTCGCGAAGGGTGAATATTCGTTTGCGGGCTCAACAAGATGCGAAAGATGCCCCATGTTACCGTACGCCGAGGACCTTGAGAACTCCGTTGAAAGGTTCGGCGCTTGCGAGCGACGCGAGATAAAAATTCGCAACTTCCTCTCCCTCCCACCAAGCGGTGCCGCCAAAACTCACTTTCCCCGCAAGCGCAAAACTCACTTTCCCCGCAAGCGCAACGCTCAACTGACCCAGCTGCCTTCCTGCAGCCTGCCTATTGGTTAACCTTCTCTTCCACTATCCTTCCCCATTCATCCCGCCTTCCACCGGACCGTGCCAGTTTCCTCTTGAAGACGTTTCGGCTGCCCCTCCGCCCCACCCACGGTTGACGCGCAGCCCCGCCAGCAATGGATGGACCAGAAGCAGCGCTTACAGTAACTTTCCGCTCCGCAGGGCCCTAGTTTCCCCGCGCGAGAGCTCCTCAACTTCAGTTACTTCCACGCGCGCCCGTTACCCATGTGCGGGCAGACGCGGAGCAGCTGCTACACTTAGCCTGCGGTAATTGCGTACCCAGTATTTTCATAGGGGTTGCCGCCGAGAGAGTATTCACCCCCCAAAAGCAGCTCCCGAAGACCAGATCCGGATTCTTTTGAAAACCAAATTTAGCCGGGGTTTATATACGAAACGTTTACTGCTCGATTTAGTGCTTCTCGAGTTAGGAACTTAGACGCTAGCTTAGGCAGGGCTCAAAGTTTTTGCCCGCATAGAGTCTGCCGCACTTAGGCCGTAGGAACAAGGGAGTACTGCAGACGCACTCAGAAATGGTCAGGTTGGAAACAAAAATTCTGCTGCCGCCAAATTTCAGGTTGTGAGATTACCCGCGGGCTAGGTGTACTGCCAGCTTCCGGCTGGACCCTGAGCAGTAGAAATAGGGACCTCTGATTAAAACTATGCGTGACATTTGACTATACATGCACTCCTGTTCCTCCTATCCTAACAATTAGTGATCCCAGGACTCTCCGCTTTCAAGTAGTGATCCCCCGGCCTTACAGTATTCTCTATCCGTTCAGCCGAGGACATCGAATAAATTACCGGCTAGACAGTCTGATGCACCGCGATTGAGCAGTATTCGACATATCAGGGAGTGTTCAGTCGGTCTTATGTCCGCCATAGCCTGACTCGGAAAGGTTACACCACACCACGTAATCCGACTGTCTGTTCCTAGGGAAAATGACGGGTGCTTGCCCCGTCGAAAGGCGGCTCGTAGCTCGCTCTTCCCTCCTTCCAATGTCGCTTAGGTCAGGTAGAACCTAGTTCGTCGTTAAGACAGACCTAGTTCGTCGTGAGGACGGCGAGCCAGCTAATTGACGCGTTACTTAGGCTAGTATCCCAGGCAATACCATAACAGTGGTGTCCGTATTTATTACCTGCCAACTTTGACCGCTGCAGCCGGTGCAGCCTCTATAGCCGGTACGGCCGCTACAGACGCTACAGACGCTACAGACGCTACAGACGCTACACCTGTTACAGACGCTGCAGGCGCCACGCCACAGACGTTACAGTAGGGAGGGATTGCTAGGCTAGTGCTTCGAAAAGCATCAGCATGGGTTCGTGCTTTTCAAAACAGAAATCGAGTAAGCAGCGGCCGCCTGACGCCCCTAATGGACCCCCGGCTAATGCCGACTCAACTCAGACGGCTCCAGCGGCCGTGCTCGCGAAACCGGCCGGTACAGATGAACCTAAAGCTACCGGACCGTCAAGTACGGGCGAAGGTGCAAGCGAGGGTGCATCTGGGTTAGGCGGAACAGCAGCGGGAGACGCGGGAGGAGCAGGAGGAGCAGGAGCAGCAGCAGGGGCAGCGACAGCAGCAGGATCAGATACGAGTGCGAACAGACCAGCAGCAGCAGCAGCAGCGGGGAAAGTCGGGGATAGTAACGCAGGTGATTCTAACGCAGTGGACGGAGCCGCGTTGCAGTTCGCCAAGTACGACAAGAACGACACGAGCATCCCGTTAGGGTTGCGGACGGATTTCGGCTATAAACGGGACTTCGAGGCGCACTATAAGCTGGGCAAGGAGCTCGGGCACGGGCAGTTCGGCACCACGTACGAGTCGATTCAACTGGCCACGGGCGAACGCGTGGCTGCGAAAGCAATTGAAAAGAAGCAGGTGCGTATAACGAAGCAAGTGCTTATAACGTGAAAGCGAGTTTGGAACCACGCACGTGTCGATTCAACTGGCCACCGGCGAACGAGTGGCTGCGAAAGCGATTGAGGAGAAGCACGTGCGTATAATGAAGATGTTGCGTATAACGAAACAGGTGCTTATTACGAGGACAAGAACAGCAAGTTGGGGCACGGGCATTTCGGCACCTCGTACGAGTCGATTCAACTGGCCACGGGCGAACGAGTGGCTGCGAAAGCGATCGAGAAAAAAAGAGCACGTGCGTGTAATGAAGATGTTGCGTATAACGAAGCAGGTGCTTATAACGATTACAATATCGGCAAGTTGGGGCACGGGCATTTTGGCAGCACGTATGAGTCGATTCAACTGGCCACGGGCGGACGCGTGGCTGCGAAAGCAATTGGAAAGAAGCAGGTGCGTATGACAAAGCAAGTGCTTATAGCGAGAAAGCGGACGAGAAGGGGCAGGTGCGTTCCAACCAAAATGCGGCGAAATGCACAAAAAAGAAGAAGCTTCGACGCGTCTCGAGCCCTTCCCTTTTCTCCGCTTCAGGTCGCCACTTTCCCGCTCTTTTATCTCTCCCATGCGCCATATGAAGCTGCCTACAGCCGGGAGGACGTGCGGCCATAATACAGAGCTGTCAGGCTGTTTCAACCTGGCTGATTTTTTTTTTTTTTTTTCTTTTTTTTTTTCTTACTCCCTGCCCTTCTCCGTTGCCCCGCTCTTTTTCTCTCCTCTCCGCGCGTCAGCTGGAGCTGCCCATAGCGGTGGAGGACGTGAGGCGCGAGGTGGCGATAACGTAGCTGCTGTCGGGCCACCGCAACACACCTCATGTCCCCCTCTCTGTCCTTCCCCCCCCTCTCTGTCCTCCCCCCCCCTCTCTGTCCTTCCCCCCCCTCTCTGTCCTTCCCCCCCCTCTCTGTCCTTCCCCCCCTCCCTGTCCTTCCCCCCCCTCCCTGGCCTTCCCCCCCCTCCCTGGCCTTCCCCCCCCTCCCTGGCCTTCCCCACCCTCCCTGGCCTTCCCCCGCTCTCCTTCTCTCCTTGCTCCCCGCCCCAGATGCAGCTGCCCGTAGCGGTGGAGGACGTGCGGCGCGAGGCGGCGATCATGAAGCTGCTTTGACCCCCGTCACAATCACCTCCCGTCCCGCCACTCCCTTCCTCTCTTTTCGGGCCCCAGATGAAGCTACCCATAGCAGTGGAGGACGTGCGGCACGAGGTGGCGATAATGAAGCTGCTGTCGGCGCGAGTATGAGGCTGCCGTGGCACGTCCCGACACTTCCGAACCCTCTCTATCTCCCTGTCACTCGCCTTTCCCCTCTCCGCTCATCAGATGAAGCTGCCCATAGCGGTGGAGGACGTGCGGCGCGAGGTGGCGATAACGAAGCTGCTTTGACCTGTCCCAATTCCTTGCCGTTTCCTCACTCCGTCCACTCCCTCTTCCCCTCCTTCTCCCTCTCCCCGCCCCAGATGAAGCTGCCCATAGCGGTGGAGGACGTGCGGCGCGAGGTGGCGATAATGAAGCTGCTGTCGGGCCATCCGAACGTCGTGCAGTTCATCGACGTGTTCGAGGACACGGACTTTGTCTTCATCTGCATGGAGTGAGTAGCATTGTAACGGGTATAAAGTGTCGGGCCACCCCAACGTGGTGCAGTTCATAGACGTGTTCGTGGACACGTACTTCGTCTACATCTGCATGGAGTGAGTAGTATTGTAACGGGTATCGAGTGTACTCTACCAGGTTGGCGGGATGTGGTGGGTGGCGTTACTGAAGCTGCTTTCAAGCGCTCGTTCACGCACTCTCGTGCCTCTTCTTCCCTTATATAGTATACGCGAGGGAGGAGAGCTCGCACCCTACGGAGGAGATCTAGCCTCCTTCACATTATATACCAGATTCTTGCACTTTCTCTTGCGGTCAACAGAGTATCCTCTCACATTGCCCCTCTCTCTTTTACCGCCCCTCGTGCCCATGTGTCTGTGTCTCTCTCTAAACCTAGCAGAATTCCTAAGAGAGGCACAGGGAGTTCCTTGACCGAATACTAGCTTGGCTCTCTCTAGTCTTCCGCTCACTTCCCCCCTCTCTCTACCTCCCTCCTGCCCGCGTGCCGTTCGCCGTCCTCGCCTCACAACGTTGCAGAATATGCGAGGGAGGCGAGCTCCTCGACCGGATACTCAGCAAGTAAGCTCCACGGAGGGGGGGGGGGGGGGGAGAGTGAAATGGAGGGAGCCATAAGGGAGGGAGGGTGAGGGGGAAATGGAGTGTGAGACCGAGGGGAGGAAAGGTGGATGACAATGGGTTGGGGATGGTTATGAGTGGTGCGAGGGAAAGGTGGGACGGAAACCATGGTATATTTGGGGCGCCTCCAAATATATTGAAGCACCTTAAAATATGTCACTGTGGATATGTGGAAGCTAATGGTGATTATCACAGCGCGCTAAATCTCACTCTGTTATCTTGCCCCCTTTCTTGTCACGATTGATTTCATCGCCCCTCCTTCGATACAATCAGGCGCGAGAACCGGTACTCTGAGAAGGACGCAGCGGGAGTGGTGCGGCAGATGCTGAGTGTGGTGGCCAAGTGCCACCTGCATGGGGTGGTGCACCGCGACTTAAAGCCAGAGGTGAGTGCGCTGGGTTAAGCCAGAGGGAAGAGAATACGCTTAAAGCCAGTCATAGCACAGCAAGCATGTTGAGATATGACATCAGATGCCGAGTGTGGTGGCCAAGAGCCACCTGCACGGCGTGGTGCACCGCAACTTAAAGCCAGAGGTGAGTCAGCGAAAAAGACACCCGGAAACGTGGAACCTAAAACATGCAAGTGTTTCCAACCCTAGGAGTACCTACCTGACCATGCACCGTTTGAGTCAAAAGCAGTTTCAACCCTGGGAGTACCTACCTGATTGTACACGACCACTTAAAGCCAGACAATGCGCTGCAACATCAAATCTCCATCCCCTCTCTCTGCTGCTCTCCGACTATCTGCCCCCCTCCCCTCCCTTCCTCCTCTCTCCCCTCCTCTCTCTCTCCCCTCCTCGCTTTCCCCCCTCCCCCTCCCCACCCCCCCATGGTTTTCCATCAGAACTTTCTTTTCAAGTCCAAGGCAGAAGATTCGCTTCTTAAAGCCACCGACTTTGGTCTCTCGGACTTCAGAAAACCAGGTGAGTGGGGGGCGCATGTGGCTAGCGGCGGTGCATGTGGCGAGTGGTGCATGGGGTGAGCGGTGCATGGGGTGAGCGGTGCATGGGGTGAGCGGTGCATGGGGTGAGTGGTGTATGTGGCGAGTGGGTCATGGGGTGAGCGGTGCATGGGGTGAGTGGTGTATGTGGCGAGTGGGTCATGGGGTGAGCGGTGTATGTGGCGAGTGGTGCATGGGGTGAGTGGTGTATGTGGCGAGTGGTGCATGGGGTGAGTGGTGTATGTGGCGAGTGGTGCATGGGGTGAGTGGTGTATGCGGCGAGTGGTGCATGGGGTGAGTGGTGTATGTGGCGAGTGGTGCATGGGGTGAGTGGTGTATGTGGCGAGTGGTGCATGGGGTGAGTGGTGTATGTGGCGAGTGGTGCATGGGGTGAGTGGTGTATGTGGCGAGTGGTGCATGGGGTGAGTGGTGCATGTGTCGAGTGGTGCATGGGGTGAGTGGTGTATGTGGCGAGTGGTGCATGGGGTGAGTGGTGTATGTGGCGAGTGGTGCATGGGGTGAGTGGTGTATGTGGCGAGTGGTGCATGGGGTGAGTGGTGCATGTGTCGAGTGGTGCATGGGGTGAGTGGTGTATGTGTCGAGTGGTGCATGGGGTGAGTGGTGTATGTGTCGAGTGGTGCATGGGGTGAGTGGTGTATGTGTCGAGTGGTGCATGGGGTGAGTGGTGTATGTGTCGAGTGGGTCATGGGGTGAGCGGTGTATGTGTCGAGTGGGTCATGGGGTGAGCGGTGTATGCGGCGAGCGGTGCATGTGGCGAGCGGTGCATGTGGCGAGCGGTGCATGTGGCGAGCGGTGCATGTGGCGAGCGGTGCATGTGGTGAGGGATGCGTGTGTGGGGGGACCATGGCCATGGTGAGCTCGTGCAGTGCCAGGCAGCCACTTTCCAGACGTAAGTTTTGAGGCGCCTAAACAATCATGTGGTGAGGGATGGGTGTCTGGGTGGGCGCATGGCATGGCCAGGGTGAGCTTCTGCAGTGCCTGGCAGCCACTTTCCAGGCGTTGTTGCCACGCCAGTGCGTACTACGTGGGGGGAAGACTTTTTCCTGACCTGCCTCACACACGCTCCCCCTTCCCATCTCTCTGCATCTCCCTCAAGCAAACCTTCCACAGGCGTGGTGGGCGATGCGTATTATGTCGCTCCAGAGGTGCTCGAGCGGCCAATTCCAATGGGCCCCCATCTCTCCCCGCCCTTCCCCCTCCGCCCCATTAGCAAGCCTTTAACAGACGTGGTGGGCAGTGCGTATTATGTCGCTCCAGAGGTGCTCAAGTGTTGACTCAAGGAGCTTCTTTCACCCTTCTCTATTCCCTTCAGGCAAGCATTTCACGGACGTGGTGGGCAGTGCGTACTACGTGGCTCCAGAGGTGCTCAAGAGGCGGTCAGGGCCGGAGAGTGACGTGTGGAGCATCGGGGTCATCACGTACACCCTCCCTCCCCTCCCATCCTCCCTCCCCTCCCTGCTCGTGCCATTAACCTCGTCATCCATTCCCTTCAGGCAAGCATTTCACGGACGTTGTTGGAAGCGCGTACTACGTGGCTCCAGAGGTGCTCAAGAGGCGGTCAGGGCCGGAGAGTGACGTGTGGAGCATCGGCGTCATCACGTACATTCTGCTGTCGGGCCGACGGCCGTTTTGGGATAGAACTGAGGCGGGGATATTCAACGAGGTGAGGGGAAGGGAGTGCGAGTGACGTGTGGAGCATTGGAGTCATCTCGTTCATTCTGCTGTCGGGCCGACGGCCGTTTTGGGATAGAACTGAGGCGGGGATATTCAACGAGGTGAGGGGAAGGGAGTGCGAGTGACGTGTGGAGCATTGGAGTCATCTCGTTCATTCTGCTGTCGGGCCGACGGCCGTTTTGGGATAGAACTGAGGCGGGGATATTCAACGAGGTGAGGGGAAGGGAGTGCGAGTGACGTGTGGAGCATTGGAGTCATCTCGTTCATTCTGCTGTCGGGCCGACGGCCGTTTTGGGATAGAACTGAGGCGGGGATATTCAACGAGGTGAGGGGAAGGGAGTGCGAGTGACGTGTGGAGCATTGGAGTCATCTCGTTCATTCTGCTGTCGGGCCGACGGCCGTTTTGGGATAGAACTGAGGCGGGGATATTCAACGAGGTGAGGGGAAGGGAGTGCGAGTGACGTGTGGAGCATTGGAGTCATCTCGTTCATTCTGCTGTCGGGCCGACGGCCGTTTTGGGATAGAACTGAGGCGGGGATATTCAACGAGGTGAGGGGAAGGGAGTGCGAGTGACGTGTGGAGCATTGGAGTCATCTCGTTCATTCTGCTGTCGGGCCGACGGCCGTTTTGGGATAGAACTGAGGCGGGGATATTCAACGAGGTGAGGGGAAGGGAGTGCGAGTGACGTGTGGAGCATTGGAGTCATCTCGTTCATTCTGCTGTCGGGCCGACGGCCGTTTTGGGATAGAACTGAGGCGGGGATATTCAACGAGGTGAGGGGAAGGGAGTGCGAGTGACGTGTGGAGCATTGGAGTCATCTCGTTCATTCTGCTGTCGGGCCGACGGCCGTTTTGGGATAGAACTGAGGCGGGGATATTCAACGAGGTGAGGGGAAGGGAGTGCGAGTGACGTGTGGAGCATTGGAGTCATCTCGTTCATTCTGCTGTCGGGCCGACGGCCGTTTTGGGATAGAACTGAGGCGGGGATATTCAACGAGGTGAGGGGAAGGGAGTGCGAGTGACGTGTGGAGCATTGGAGTCATCTCGTTCATTCTGCTGTCGGGCCGACGGCCGTTTTGGGATAGAACTGAGGCGGGGATATTCAACGAGGTGAGGGGAAGGGAGTGCGAGTGACGTGTGGAGCATTGGAGTCATCTCGTTCATTCTGCTGTCGGGCCGACGGCTGCTCCTGGATAGTACCGAGGCTGGGATATTCAATGAGGGTAGAGGGGGGGAGAGGGAGGTGGTAGGAAGGGGAAGGAAGGGGGTAAAACATTGGCGTAGTGTCACCATGTCTCCCACTATCCTCATAACCGCACATCATTACTCATCACTGCTTATCACCGCTCATCACCGCTCATTCCGCCCTTCAGGTGCTGAAGAAGCGGCCTGACTTCAGGGAAAAGCCCTGGCCGAACGTTTCATCCAGCGCCAAGGACTTTGTCAAGAAGCTTCTCAAGAAGGATCCCCGTGCTCGACCCACTGCTGCCCAAGCCTTGTGTGAGTGCATTAACTTCCCCTACCCGCCCTGCTGTTGAGCCGGGCGCACTAACCTGCACTGCCAGCGCCAAGGACTTTGTCAAGAAGCTTCTCAAGAAGGATCCCCGTGCTCGACCCACTGCTGCCCAAGCCTTGTGTGAGTGCATTAACTTCCCCTACCCGCCCTGCTGTTGAGCCGGGCGCACTAACCTGCACTGCCAGCGCCAAGGACTTTGTCAAGAAGCTTCTCAAGAAGGACCCGCGTGCCCGACCCACTGCTGCCCAAGCCTTGTGTGAGTGTGCTCCGTGCCTGTTACTGTTGTACTGTTGGTTTGAGTGCACTAAGGGGCAAAGGGTGCAACTACACCGCATGTGTCTGGCAGCGCTAAGGACTTTGTCAAGAAGCTCCCCAGGAAGGATCTCCCCGTGCCCGTCCCACTGCCGCTGAAGCCTTGTATTGAGTTTGCACACTCCCCCTACCCGCCCTGCTGTTGAGTTGGGCAGCACAATCCTTCATCCTCGCCTCCTCTTTCCGTCTCGGTCAGCGCACAAGTGGGAGAAGGAGGGGGGCGACGCCTCGTCTGGGCCGCTGGGTCTGGTAGTGCCAGTAGGGGAGTGTTGAGAACAGCACCTGACTGGCCCCCCTTTCTCCTCTTAGCATCCTTGTGCCCCGTCTCAGCGCACAAGTGGGAGAAGGAGGGAGGGGGGCGACGCCTCGTCAGTGCCGTTGGATATAACGGTGCCAGTAAGGGAGTGTTGAAAACAGCCCCTGACTGGCCCCCCTTTCTCCTCTCATCTTCCCCTCCCCCCTTCTCCCCCCCCCCTCCTCCACATCCCCCTGATCCTTCTCAGCGCACAAGTGGGAGAAGGAGGGGGGCGACGCCTCGTCTGGGCCGCTGGGTCTGGTAGTGCCAGTAGGGGAGTGTTGAGAACAGCACCTGACTGGCCCCCCTTTCTCCTCTTAGCATCCTTGTGCCTCGTCTCAGCGCACAAGTGGGAGAAGGAGGGAGGGGGGCGACGCCTCGTCAGTGCCGTTGGATATAACGGTGCCAGTAAGGGAGTGTTGAAAACAGCCCCTGACTGGCCCCCCTTTCTCCTCTCATCTTCCCCTCCCCCCTTCTCCCCCCCCCTCCTCCACATCCCCCTGATCCTTCTCAGCGCACAAGTGGGAGAAGGAGGGGGGCGACGCCTCGTCTGGGCCGCTAGACATAGCGTTGCCAGTAGGGGAGTGTTGAGAACAGCACCTGACTGGCCCCCCTTTCTCCTCTCATCTTCCCCTCCCCCCTTCTCCCCCCCCCCTCCTCCACATCCCCCTGATCCTTCTCAGCGCACAAGTGGGAGAAGGAGGGGGGCGACGCCTCGTCTGGGCCGCTAGACATAGCGTTGCCAGTAGGGGAGTGTTGAGAACAGCACCTGACTGGCCCCCCTTTCTCCTCTCATCTTCCCCTCCCCCCTTCTCCCCCCCCCCTCCTCCACATCCCCCTGATCCTTCTCAGCGCACAAGTGGGAGAAGGAGGGGGGCGACGCCTCGTCTGGGCCGCTAGACATAGCGTTGCCAGTAGGGGAGTGCTGAGAACAGCACCTGATCCCCCCCCTCCCCCTTTCTCCTCTCATCACCCTTGTGGACCCCCCTCCCCTCTCCTCCACATCCCCCTGATCCCTCTCAGCACACAAGTGGGTGAAGGAGGGGGGCCAGCGCCTGACTGGCCCCCATTTCTCCTCTCATCTTCCCCTCCCCCTTCTCCCCCCCTCTCCTCCACATCCCTCTCGACCCCCCGCAGCACACAAGTGGGTGAAGGAGGGGGGCGACGCCTCATCCGTGCCTCTGGACATAGCCGTGCTCTCCAACATGCGCGAGTTTGTCAAGTACTCGCGGCTAAAGCAGATGGCGCTCAAGGTGCGTTCATGCTAGTGTGGCCCAGGGTGTAGCGGTATTCTGTGGCACGGGGGTGTGTCACAAGCGGTCGATGGTGTAATCCGCTGGACATCGCGATGCTCTCCAACATGCGCGAATTCGTCAGGTACTCGCGGCTAAAGAAGATGGCGCTCAAGGTGAGCAGTTTGTACGGTGCGTGCTGTGAGCGCCCGCGGCTCACGGTGCGTGCTGTGAGCTGTATTTTGAGTCGACTCAAAATACAGCTGTGAGCGCCGCCGCGGCTCACGGTGCGTGCTGTGAGCTGTATTTTGAGTCGACTCAAAATACAGCTGTCAGCGCCCGTGGCTCATGGTGCGTGCTTGCATGGCGGCGGTCAGTCAGGGTGTAATGTCACGGTGCTGTTGAGCTGCGCTGGCCACAGCACAGCACTGCCCTGCCCTCCAACATGCGCGAGTTTGTCAAGTACTCGCGGCTAAAGCAGATGGCGCTCAAGGTGAGCAGTCGTGTGTGGCTCGGGCTGCGAGGGTGGCAACACATATTTGTATCACAGCACCACGCTAGGCGACGCCTTGTCTGTGCTGCTGGCCATAGCAGTCCGCTCCAACGTGCGCGATTTTGTCAAGTACTCGCGGCTGAAGCAGATGGCGGTCAAGGTGAGAAGTCGCGTGTGGCTTGGGCTGTGAAGGCACTGTGTCACAGTAGGTAGTCCCCTTGGCATAGCAGTGCTCTCCCCTGGGCATGCGCGAGTTGGTCAAGTACTCGCGGCTAGAGCACATGGCGCTCAAGGTGCATCTCGATCCTCAAGGTGTAAGGCTCCTTGGCAACAACTGAGGATGTCTGATCTGTTCCGCCTCGACGTTTGATCCTTGTTAATGTTTCGTGGCCAATGCTTTCATCCTCTTCATCCGTGCAATACTTTCGTTCTGCAAGGAGGAATGAAAGTATGGCCCTGCTCCCCCCCCTCTCTCCCCTCCCTCTCATCCCTTCCCCCTCCCCCCCTCTCCCCCTCACCTGTCTCGTACCCACAGGCCCTGGCAACAACCTTGGAAGAGTCGGAGGTGCAGTCCCTAAGGGACCAGTTCAACGCCATGGATATCAACAAGGATGGCACCATCACCATTGACGAGATCAGACAGGTACAGAGAGATCAGGCACGGAAATAGCAGGCACGGAGAGAGCAGGTATGGAAAGAGCAGGCATGGAGAGAGCAGGTACGGAGAGAGCAGGCACGGAGAGAGCAGGCACGGAGAGAGCAGACACGGGGAGAGCAGGTGCGCAGAGAGCAGGTGCGCAGAGAGCAGGTGCGCGGAGAGCAGGCACCGGGAGAGCAGGCACGGAGAGAGCAGGTACGGAGAGAGCAGGTACGGAGAGAGCAGGCACGGGGAGAGCAGGCATGGAGAGAGCAGGCATGGGGAGAGCAGGCACGGGGAGAGCAGGTGCGGGGAGAGCAGGCACGGAGAGAGCAGGCACGGAGAGAGTAGGTTCGGAGAGAGCAGGTACGGAGAGAGTAGATATGACAGTCGGTGCAATGCCATGCCATGCCTAGTCTTCTCCCTCTGTTTCCCCCACCCCTTCCCCCTGTCTTCCCCCCATCAGGCATTGAGTCACGACCTGCCGTTCGAAGTGAAGGAGTCACGCGTGCTGCAGATTCTGCAAGCGGTGAGAGCACCCTTTTTCACAGCCAACACAGCTATCCTTAGGTGAATCTTCAGTCGACTACAAAATCGTGCGAAGTGAAGGAGGCAGGGGTGCTGCAGATCCTGCAAGCAGTGAGTGCACCCTCCTTCACAGCCGACATAGCCAACGCCCATAGCCTTTCCTGCTGCCTGCCTGGTTATGCAGCATACGCGTGCCTGTAGCCATTAGCAGAACCCGTTATGCGCATTGCCAAATGCTCGGTTATGGCCCTTGAGCATGGGGCAACATCTTGTGCACTGGGCAATGGGTGTAGTGTGTATGATCTGTGTGTAAGAAGTCCGACTCAGAAATCGACCAATTGCAACCTCTTGTGCACCGGCAATGGGTGTACCGTGTGTGAGTTCATTCTCGCCCCAGCTCTCCCTCTTCCCTGCATTCCCCGCATGAGGAGTCTAATTTTGAAAGCGCCTACACCATTCTGAGTCTATGTTTTAGCCGCCTCAAAAACAGCAACCTCTTGTGAAGGCATTGACTGTACTGCTTTGTGTATGGCTTCGTTCTCGAGGTGACTTTTGAGTCGACTCAAGAGTTATTCTCGCCCCAGCTCTCCCTCTTCCCCGCATCTCCCCCTGCCCCCCCCTCCCTCCCTCTCTTCCTGTCCCTCCAGTTTTGAGGCGCCTCAAAACTAGACTCCTATCACGCATCTCCCCCCACCCCCCCCTCCCTCCCCCTCTTCCTGTCCCTCCATCCTCCCCCTCACCCACTCAGATGGACACCAACTGTGACGGCATTATTGATTTTGATGAGTTTGTGGCGGCCACGCTGCACGTGCAGCAGCTGGAGGAGGCCGACTCCACCAAGTGGCAGGAGCGCTCGCGAGCCGCTTTCGCCCAGTTTGACCGCGACAACGATGGATACATCGATGCAGAGGAGCTAAGGATGGTAAGGGAGAGGTTTGGGGTTGTCAGTTGGATGTGGTCCTGGTTCTTTCCCTTCCAAGCGGTAGGTACCATGTCAGTTTGACCGCAACAACGATGGGTACATCGATGCGGAGGAGCTAAGGATGGTAAGGGGAGTTGTTACCCCTGACATGGCAGGAGCGATAGGGTAACCCCCTTCATATGCATACCAACCAACGCAAGCACATCCGCATGTCTCTTTCTCCCACATTTCCTCTCTGCGAGTCCTCCGGGCCGCCCAGGTGAATTTGCCTCTTGATAATCTGATAGCAGAAGCGGACACGGATGGGGATGGCATAATCAGCCTTCACATGCGTACTAATGGTAGTATGCAAGCACATCCGCATGTCTCTGTCTCTTTCTCCCACATCCCCTCACTGTGAATCCTCCAGGCCGCCCAGGTGAATTTCCCTCTGGATAATCTGATAGCAGAAGCGGACACGGATGGGGATGGCAGAATCAGCCTGCCCGAATTCCAGAAGCTTCTCAGATGTGCAAGTATTAATTCCCGCACCAACACGTCTCGGTCCCGGGGTCGCTCGTGGCTGGGCCAGACCATTGATGAATGATAAGCTGGTGGCCCAGGAAAACAATTGGATTTGGACTTAGCTGTCAGAGGTAGATCTGTGTTTCGGATTAAGGATGGCTGCATTCGCTGAAATAGGATTCTAACTGGTTAGTGTGTCAGAAGGAGCAAATGATAATGGCCAATCAACTTAGTGTGCTTGTGTAGTCATTTTAGAGAGGCTCCTACGACTTGAGATGCCGTTGTCTTTATTGTGTTTAACTGTAGCTTTTCTATGGGCAGTTGGCTGCTGCAGACATATACGCGTACGAGTTTGTGATATTTTCCCCTACTTGCCCAGAACTTTAGGTCACATTCGAGCAGGTTTCCATTGGCTTACCGCTTGGCAGACCCTGCTGATTGGCCGTTTGGATCCGAACTGACCCTCGTGTAGCTACCCGGGCGCCTGATTGATGTTTCAGTTGCGCCCGGGGGATGACATTACATGTGGTGTTGAGCAATTGCTTGCGCATTCGTCATCGCGTTATCGTCAACCCAGTCTCCTAGTCCAAACCGCACGCATGTTCGTTTGGCGAAATCTGTGATCAGTTTCGCTTAACGAATTCGCGACGGCTCTGCATTCGTACACACTGTACGTCTTTCTTCGTATACTTTTTATCCCCCACTATTTCTCCTCTGGTGCTGAAATATTTTCCGCCATGGCTGCCACCCTCAGCCTGATAGGTTCTGCCACTTGGCAGCTGATTGGCCTGGTTTCGTGATTCCGTTTTTTCTGAGTTCTGAGAACCCCCAATCATCGGTTTCATCTGGCAGCCATGGCTGCCACGCGGTGCGTCGTGAACTCATCTCCGTATTCCGTCCTATCGCAAATCCATGGCCTCCAGTAACGTCTCATTAGGACAATTCCCTGCTTGCATTAGCGCCATACACGCCATCCGCAGAGGATCGTCGTACTGCTGATCTCATCCCCGTCCGCTCCTGATGCACGCGTGAAGCCATAGATTCGTATCCGGTGAAAGCAGACTTTTGAGTCGCCTCAATAGACCAGGCGAACCATTCCGCCAGTTTCCGCTGCTTTTCTCGTTGATAATTAGCAGCAGTAGCACAGACCAGCAGCGATCGCCATGGCTGCGTCGGTGGCTCGTCCCGCCAGCGTCGCTCCGCTGATTCGCTCAGCAGCGAGGGTTTTCAAGCCCAGGGCACAGCCACGGTCGTCGCAGCCCAGGGCTCTACAAACGGGTTCCAAGCCCAAGGCACAGACGCATACGGGAGTTCCGGCGTCGCAAGCGTCGCAGGCGCCCCTCGCGTGCTCTCGCAGCAGTAGCACCGTGGCGGCGTGTCGAATCGGCAAGTTTCATCGATTCGCGACTTCGCCGTCAGCTTCTCAGCAGCAGCACTATTCGACGGGGGTCAGATTCCTAGCGTCACTGCCCGCTCGGTCGCCGGGCAGGCCGCGCGGACAGTTCTCCTCCCTCTCGTTGAGAATTTTGAAAAACGACTCCCTTTTATCGGAGACGCCTGTAGCGGGGACGAGGGCTGGCGCGCGCAGGCGAGCTAGTATCCGGTGTCACAGTAGCGAAGGCGCTGGTGGTGGGCAGTATCGTGAATCGGCGGGTGGTCGAGGGGATAGTGTGACTAATGCGGGGGATATAAAGGCGAAGGGGAGAGGGAGTGAGGGTGGGCATGAGGAGCATGGGAATAGGCATGGTTATGAGCACGATCATGCGCGAGCCATGGGTGTTGCACATGCAGCGGATCATGATGGTGATCATGCTGGTCATAGGCATGATGACACGCATGATCACCGTCATGATGACCATCATGATCACCATCATGACCATCATGGCAATGATCATCATGATCATGATCATAGTCACCGCAGCAGCTCTCATGCGCACAGCCATGCTCACAACCACCACAGTAACGGCCACCACCACGACGATGACAACGACCATGATCACACGCACTCGCACGCACCCGAAACACAAGCGTCGCAGGCTCAGCACAGCCACAGCCACGGCCACGACCACGACCACGACCATCAGTCCCATGACCACACCCACGATCACCATAACCACCATCCCCATCCCCATACCCACGACCACAGCCACAGCCACGACCACCACCCCCATAACCATCATAACCACGATTCGCATGCCCATCACAATCACCATCATCATAATCACGACCACCATCACCACCACCACGGGCCCCCCTCGCCGTCCTCCCTCAACGCGCCACAGCGCGCGCTGCTCTCGCTCTTCTCCGCCCTCCGCCTCGCCCCCCTGGCCGACCGAATGCGGGAGAACGCGCCCCTTGCCTCCCTCTCCCTCGGCCTCTGCCTGGCCGCGTATGCCGTGCCGCTCATCGTGCAATCCCAGCCGTTGGTGCAAATGCTGCAGACGGGGCTCGTGGCCACCGCCCTCCCTCTCACTGCTGTAAGTGCCTTCACTCAGTGCCATCCCTCCTCTCCCTCCTCTCCCTCCTCTCCCTCCTCTCCCTCCTCTCCCTCCTCTCCCTCCTCTCCCTCCTCTCCCTCCTCTCCCTCCTCTCCCTCCTCTCCCTCCTCTCCCTCCTCTCCCTCCTCTCCCTCCTCTCCCTCCTCTCCCTCCTCTCCCTCCTCTCCCTCCTCTCCCTCCTCTCCCTCCTCTCCCTCCTCTCCCTCCTCTCCCTCCTCTCCCTCCTCTCCCTCCTCTCCCTCCTCTCCCTCCTCTCCCTCCTCTCCCTCCTCTCCCTCCTCTCCCTCCTCTCCCTCCTCTCCCTCCTCTCCCTCCTCTCCCTCCTCTCCCTCCTCTCCCTCCTCTCCCTCCTCTCCCTCCTCTCCCTCCTCTCCCTCCTCTCCCTCCTCTCCCTCCTCTCCCTCCTCTCCCTCCTCTCCCTCCTCTCCCTCCTCTCCCTCCTCTCCCTCCTCTCCCTCCTCTCCCTCCTCTCCCTCCTCTCCCTCCTCTCCCTCCTCTCCCTCCTCTCCCTCCTCTCTCTCCTCTCTCTCCTCTCTCTCCTCTCCCTCCTCTCCCTCCCCTCTCTCCGCGCCCTCCTCTCCCTCCTCTCCCTCCTCTCCCCCTTCTCCCTCCTCTCCCTCTTCTCCCCTCTTCCTGGCCGTGTATGCCGTGCCGCTCATAGTGCAATCTCAGCCGTTGGTGCAGATGGTTCATGACCGTGGCAGCGCTGCCATTGGTGGCCATGGGGAATGCAACCCTCACATCTACCTACCCACAGTCCCACCTTTTGAATGACTCCCCTCTCGTCTCTCCACCCATGTCAGATCCCAGCCAATCATGTCGGATGCTCTCGTGGATAACGCCGGGGGCTCAGGCTTGGCTCTGGTTGACATCGTGGGGGGCTCAGCGAACATCCATGTGCTCATGACCGTGGCAGTGCTGCCATCGGTGGCCATGGGGCTAAGCACCCATTCCATCTATCCTCATCTCCCCCCTTCCCCATGGGCCTCAGATCCCAGCCACTATGGATGCTCTGGTTGACATAGCCGGGGGCTCGGTGAACATCCATGTGCTTATGACGGTGGCAGCGCTGGCGTCGGTGGGCATGGGGAATGCTCTCGAGGGCACGCTGCTGCTCGCCATGTTCTCCATCTCGCATATAGGTACGTGTACATACTACAATACAAGTCATATCGGTACGAGTTAGTTCTCTACACGCCTCAAACATAGACCTCGGTGGGCATGGGGAGTGCGCTGGAGGGCATGCTGCTGCTCGCCATGTTCTCCATCTCGCACATTGGTGAGGTTCCATCGTCCCATATCAGTACGGGTGCATACAACACGTATTGGTAGGAGTTTGTGCTCGAGGAGCCTCAAACAGAGGCGTCAGTTGGCATGGGCATGGGGAGTGCACTCGAGGGCACGCTGCTGCTCGCCATGTTCTCCATCTCCCCTATGGGTACGACTCGATTGTGGATACTACTGGCAGCTTGTTTCTTTTACAGTGAGCGCTATGCTCGCTCTGCTTGCTCTGGAGGGCACGCTGCTGCTCGCCATGTTCTCCATCCCCCCTATGGATAAGTGTATTACAGTACAAATCGTATCGGTACGAGTTCGCCTCAAACATAGACGTCAGTGGCCATGGGGATTGCTCTCAAGGGCACACTGCTGCTCGACATGTTCTCCTTCTTGCATATAGGTGCGACTCCATTCCAGATTCTAGCAGCCTGTTTCTTTGAAAAATGAGCTTTGTGCTATGAGCCTATTTTTGAGTCGAGTAAAAAATGGGCTCATAACACACTGTGCCCGCTCTGCTTGTTCTGGAGGGCGCGCTTCTGCTCGCCATCCTGTCCATCTCGCGAGACTGAGAGTGCGTCGTGCCATCTTCTCTGTCTCGCACATTGGTACAACTCATATGTCGGGTGTGACTCGGTTCTGGATGTTGTCGCTCCTTTTTGGCACTGCCGCACGTCTATCCCTTGACTCCTCTCCTCATCGACCCCTCCTGCCCCTCCCTTTCATGACCCCCTCTCTCCCCCTTAACCGCTTGCTCGCCTTCTCATCCCCTTACCACTTACCAGTGGAGCATTATTTCACTGAGAAAGCCCTTGGAGTTGTACGTTCGCTGGAGGACAGCAACCCCTCCACTGCTCTCCTCATCGACCCCTCCTGCCTCTCCCTTTCCCATCCCCTTTCTCCACTTACCCGCCCACCCCTTCACCACCTTACAGCGGAGCATTATTTCACTGGAAAGGCTCTGGGTGATCTGCGTTTGCTGCAGGGCAGCAACCCCTCCACTGCTCTCCTCATCGGCTCCTTCTACCTTGAGAATCTCATCCCCGTTCTGTGTTCACCCTCCACCCCCGCACCACCCTCTTACCAACGGAGCACTATTTCACTGAGAAAGCCCTTGGTGATTTACATTCGCTGCAGAACAGCAACCCCTCTACTGCTCTCCTCATCGACCCCTCCTGCCTCTACCCTCCCCCACTCCCTCTCCCACCCCTCTCCCACCCCTCTCCCCTCCCCCACCCACCCACCAGCGGAGCACTATTTCACCGAGAAAGCCCTGGGAGATTTACGTTCGCTGCAGGACAGCAACCCTTCTACTGCTCTCCTCATCGACCCGTCCTGCCTCTCTTCTGAGGGCGCTGCCTCTGCTGCTGCTGCTACGTCAAAGAACGATGATATTGGCAGCAGCAGCAGCAGCAATAGTAACGGCAATGGCGGCAGCAGCAGCAGCAGTAATGGCAGCAGCAGCAGCAGTAATGGCAGCAGCAGCAGCAGTAATGGCAGCAGCAACAGCAGCAATGGTAGCGGCAACGGCAGCATCAGCAGTGGTAGCGGCAGTAGCAGCAGCGGCAGGAGCGGGAGGAAAGAAGCTGGGGTGGCGTTTCCAGGGCTGGCTGCTCTCTCGTGGTCCGAAGTGCCTGTGGCAGACGTGCCTGTAGGCGCCATGGTGCTGGTCAAAGCTGGCGAGGTGAGTATTGGGGAAGCGGTGATGGGTGTGTGTGGGGGGGGAGGGAGAGTTGGAGGGCAGAAGGTGGAGCGGTGTTTCAGTGGTTGCTGCTCTCTCGAGGTCCGAGGTGCCTGTAGCAGAAGTGCCTGTAGGTGCCATGGTGCTGGTGAAATCTGGCGAGGTGAGTGCTGAAGGTGCGTGTTGGGGGTACGAAGTGTGTGTGAAGGTGGTACAAGGGGGCATGTTGAATACGTGCCTGTGGAAGACGTGCCTGTGGAAGACGTGCCTGTGGGCGCCATGGTGCTGGTCAAAGCTGGCGAGGTGAGTGCTTTAGAAGCGGTGATGGGTGTGTGTGGGGGGAAGAGTTGAGGCTCGGAAGGGGCAGTGGCGTTTCCAGGGATGGCTGCTCTCTCGTGGTCCGAAGTGCCTGTGGCAGCCGTGCCTGTAGGCGCTATGGTGCTGGTCAAAGCGGGAGAGGTGAGTGGTGGGAGGAGGTTGAGGGTGGGGAGGGGTTGGCAAGGGTGACCAGGCGTCTAACTGTGCCTTTCCTCCTTCAGCACGCATGCGGCACGTCTCCCCTTCAGCCAGAGTTGGTTTTTCTATTTCTGAGGCGCCTCAAAAATCGGTTAGCAAGGGTGACCAAGCGTCTAACTGTGCCTTTCAGCCCGCGCTGTTTTTATTTATTTATGTTTGTTCTTTTTTTTTCTTTTTTTTTCAAACCAACTTTCCTCCTCCCCTCCTCCAGGTCGTCCCTCTAGATGGCACGGTTCGTTTCCGCTGCTCTCTCGCGACAACCGAGCACCTCACCGGCGAGGCCCGCCCCATCGAGAAGCCGCTTCCTCTCTCCCTTTCCCCCCTTCCCCCCTCTCCACCACCCCTTCCCCCCTCTCCACCACCCCTTCCCTCCCCTCCTCCAGGTCGTCCCGTTGGACTGCTTTTGGACTCCATTGGACAGCACAGTCTGTTTCGGCCGCCCCTTGTGACTATTAAGCACCTCACCGGGGACGCACACCCCATCGAATAGCCATGTCCTCCCCCTGTCCTTTTTTCCTGTTCCCCCCTCCCCCCCCCCCGCGCACACAGGTCGTCCCTCTAGACGGCACGGGTCGTTTCGGCCGCTCGCTTGTGACCACCGAGCACCTGACCTGCGAGGCCAAACCCATTGAGAAGCATCCCCCCTTCGCACGCAGGTCATCCCCCTGGACGGCACAGTTCGTTTCGGCCACTCCCTCGTGACAACCGAGCAGCACCTAACTGGCGAAGCCCACTGCATTGAAAAGTACCCTGGCGAAAGCTCACCTGCCGTGTCACTGGTGCCCCTCCTCCCTCACCTCCCCCCCTCCCCGCCCCTCGTGCACACAGGTCGTCCCCCTGGACGGCACGGTTCGCTTCGGCTGCTCCCTCGTGACCACCGAGCACCTCACCGGCGCGGCCCGCCCCATCTAGAAACATCCCGGTTGAAAGCCCACCTGCTGTCCCCATGCGCCCCTCCTCCTCCCCAACCCCCACCCACCCACCCACCCCCTTACACACAGGTCGTCCCCCTGGACGGCACGGTTCGCTTCGGCCGCTCCCTCGTGACCACCGAGCACCTCACCGGCGAGGCCCACCCGATGGAGAAGCATCCCGGGGACTCCCTCCCGGGGGGCTCGCGCACCGTCGACGGCTTCCTCGTCGTGGAAACTTCCCGGAAATGGTCCGAGTCCACTGTGGCTCGGATCATGCAGTTGACAGAGCAAGCGAGGGCGCAGAGACCCCCCCTCCAGCGGTGGCTGGATAAGTTTTCAGAGAGATATAGCCAAGCCGTGGTTGGCTTGTCGCTGGGGGTGGCTGTGCTTGGGCCAGTGCTGTTCGGCTGGCCGGTTTTAAGCTCCCCGGGGGTGCGTGGGTCGCTGTATCGCGCGCTGGCGGTGATGGTGGCGGCGTCGCCGTGCGCGCTGGCTGTTGCTCCCCTGGCTTACTTCTGTGCTCTCACCGCCTGTGCTGCCAAGGTAAGAGACTTGGTTGGACCAGTTCCGTTCAGCTCCCGGGGGTGCGCAGGTCGCTGCACCAGGCTCTGGCGGTGATGGTGGCCGCCGTGCGCGCTCGCTGTTGCCCGGCTTGCTTACCTTCTGCGCTCTCACTGCCTGTGCTGCCAAGGTGGGCATTGAGTTGGACACACAATCCATCTGGCAGTGATGGTGGCTGTGTTGCCGTGTGCTCTCGCTGTTGCTCCGCTCACTGCTTTTGAGTCGACTCAAAAGCTGTGTTGCCGTGTGCTCTCGCTGTTGCTCCGCTCGCTGCACTCTCATCCCCTCCCCTCCCCTTGCTTGCTCTTGCAGGGCATTTTTTAGAATTCCGCAGGGCATTTTTAAGAATTCTAAAAAATACCTCGCTGTTGCTCCGCTTACTGCACTCCCATGCCCTCCCCTCGCGTGCTCTGATCTGCATGATCAGGTTCAAGGCGTGGTGGTGGTTCTGTGGAGATCTGACAAACATTAACATAAAATGTGCGGCTTTCATCCCCCCTCTCCTCCCACCCTTCTCTCCTCCCATCCTCTCTCCTCCCACCCTCTCTCCTCCCACCCTTCCCTCCCTCCCTTCCCTCCTCGCCGCCCTCGCCGCCCTTCCCCCCCTTTTCTCCTCCAGGGAATACTGCTGAAGGGCGGGCATGCCCTGGATGCGGTGGCAGCATGCGACACAGTGGCCTTCGACAAGACAGGCATGCTCACCATGGGGCAGCTGAGCATGCGCTTCATCCAGCCACTGCACTCCCACGCTGCCGGCTCCCCCCCCTCCCTCCTAACCTCCCTCCTCACGCCCAACAGGGTATACTTTTGAAGGGCGGCCATGCTTTAGATGCGGTGGCGGCGTGCGACACAGTGGCATTCGACAAGACAGGCACGCTCACCACGGGCCAGCTGAGCATGCGCTTCATTCAGCCGCTGCACTCCCACGCTGCCGACTCCGCCCCCTCCCTCCTCCTCGCCTCCTGCCCTCTCCCTTCCTCCCACTCCACCCCTTCCTTTCCCCCCTCCTCTCCCTCCTCTCCCTCCTCTCCCTCCTCTTCCTCCTCATCCTCCCCTCGTTCTTCTGGGAGTGAGGGCACCTGGGACGATTGCAGTACGCTTTCCAGCACCAGCAGCAATTCACAAGGGGTGGAGTGCGGTGCGGACCATAGGCATGTGGTGGAGGAGACAGGGGTGGTGGTGGAGTGCACTAGCGTCAGCTGTGAGGCTGAGGCGTTGGCAGTCGCCGCTGCTCTTGAGCAAGCCGCCACCCACCCAATTGCCAGGTGAGATTGTTCTCTTGGAAGTGCTGGCCGTGGCTGCTGCCTTGGAGCAATCATCAACACACCCGATTGGAGTCTATTTTTTAGGCGCCTCAAAAATAAGCAAGCAGCAACACAGTGCTAGCGTCAGCTGTGAGGCTGAGGCGCTGGCGTGGCTGCTGCCTTGGAGCAAGCTGCCACGCACCCCATCGCCAGGTGAGGTAATTTGTATGTTCGAAATCAGGCAGCTTAAACGTGCAAGCTGCCATGCACCCCATTGCCAGGTGTGGCTCGAGTCACCCCAACCTCCACCCTACCAATGTGAACGTTAACAGTCTGCAGGTGGTGCAGACTCACCTGCAGGGCCGAGGGCTCGCCTGCCCCAACTCGTCCCAGACCGTTGTTTGAGGCGCCTCAAAAGTCGTCCCAGAGCGTTGCAGGAATATGCAGACTCCAAGCAAACCAGATCGTTACGAGGGGTGAACGTTAACCGTATGCAGGTGGCGCTGGGGCAAGGGCTCACAACCCTCAGACCCTTGGCAACCCCCTCTTTCCCCCACACAGAGCCTTGCAGGAATGGGCACACAGACAGCAGGCACGCCACCCTAAGCTGAGTGAACGTGGATAATCCACAGCTGGTGTGGGGGCGATGGCTGGAAGCCCTCAGCCTGCCTCCTCTTCCTCCCTCTCCCCGTCCCCTGGCCCCCAACCTCACAGAGCGTTGCAGGAATATGCAGACTCCAAGCAAACCACCCTACCAGGGGTGAACGTTAACAATCTGCAGCTGGTGCCAGGGAGAGGGCTCACTGCCACCATTTCCAGCATGCCAGGAGAGGTGAGATGGTGGACGGGTGGGCGCAGTGCGGTGCAATGAGGTGGCTCTCGGTAATGTGTGTTGTAATGCGGTGCTGTGCGGTGCTGACTTGAGTGAATGGGAATTCGGTAAAGCCAGCAGCTGGTGCCGGGGAGAGGGCTCACGGCCACCCAGCATGCCGGGCGAGTTGAGATGGTGGGCGGGTGGGCACAGTGCGGTGCAATGAGGTGGCTTTCGGCATGCCGGGCGAGTTGAGATGGTGGATGGCAATGTGACAAACTCAAGTCCCATGCCGAAGGCTCATCAATCATTTCACCCACTTCTCAGCCAATCCACACTCTCCCCTACTCCACACTCTCCCCTACTCCACACTCTCTACTCCCTCCCTCCCACCGGCGCAGAGCGACAAGTGGGGCCCACACGAGGCCCGCATCGGCTCCCTGGATTTCATTGCTGAGGTGGCAGACGGCCATTTGGCCAGCAGCCCAGCAGGGCACGCACCATCCTCAGACCAGTCGTTCGCATCCAGCCCACCAGTCCCACCACTCTCACCACCGCCCCCCGCTATTCCCCCAAGCGACCTGATCCGTGCGGCACTAGCAGTGGGCCAGAAGGTGACCCTCTTCCATTTCGAGGACAAGCTACGCACGGGTGCCAGAGAGGTGGTGCAGGCGCTGCAGCAGCAGGGGGGGCTCAGCACGCGAATGCTGACTGGTGATCATGAGGCGTCGGCACACCGAGTGGCTGCGGCGGTGGGGATCGAGAGAGGGGAGGTGGAGGCGGAGTTGAGGCCGGAGGATAAGCTGAGTGTGGTGGAGGAGATGACCGGGAGGGCGAGGAGGGGTGGGAGGGGCGGTGTGCTGATGGTGGGTGATGGGATCAATGACGCGCCTGCTCTCGCTGCTGCCACGGTACGCCTTTCACATGTATTATGATTGACGCTAAACCCTCTGTTGCATGACAGACAAAGGACGGAGGGTCTCCGTTACACATGTCATGTTTCCTCTGCTGCTGCACTAGTTCTAATGAGTGTGTAATGAGTCGATTTTTGAGTCGACTAAAAAATCGACTCATTACACTCACGTCATGTGTCCTCTGCTGCTGCGCTAGTTCTAATGATTTTCTTCCTGCAGCTCGACTTTGTCTCGCGCCTTCTGCTGTCCCACATCCGTTTGTGTCTCATTCGGTTTGTGGCTCATGTGCTAATGTCACATTCGTTTGTGTCACACTTGTTTTGTGTCACACATGGCAGGTGGGAGTGGTGCTGGCAGAGCGAGCAAGCGCAACAGCGGTGGCAGCAGCGGACGTGCTTCTATTAAAGGATAACATCTCAGAGCTGCCATTCCTAGTGGCCAAGGCTCGCCAGACCACCTCCATTGTAAGAAAGGGCGATATAGCTGCAATGGCAGCGGCCCTTGAGGGAAAATGCAGATGGCACGTGCATGAGCCAGGTGGTGCTTCCTTTTATTGAAGGACCTCCTCAGTCGTAAGTAAGAGCAGCTGATACAGTGGTGACTGTAAAGGGGGAAAATGCACATGTCAGATACAGGATTTAGGCAAGGCAGCAGCGGACGTGCTTCTATTGAAGGATGGTAACATCTCTGAGCTGCCATTCCTAGTGGCCAAGGCTCACCAGACAACTTCCACAGTAAGAAGGGACGATTCAGACGATACGGCACTGGCACTCACATGCATTCTGCTTGCTCTCCTCAAACACATCCTCTGCATCTCCCCCCCCACTGATCCCCTGTTTTCACCTCCCTGGTCTTTCCCACACCAGGTGAGGCAGAGTGTGGCACTGGCTCACACATGCATACTCCTCGCTCTGCTGCTCACACATCTTCTCCACCTTTCTCCCCCACTGACCCTGGTTTTGATGTGTTCCCCCCTGTTTTTCCCTTGCCAGGTGAAGCAGAGTGTGGCGCTGGCACTCACATGCATAGTGCTCGCAATCCTGCCGGCCCTTCTGGGGCAAATACCCCTCTGGCTCACGGTGCGTGGGTGGGGTGCTGTGCTGTGACTTGTAATGCGGTGCTGTGACGCAAGTTACGTGTGGTTGTAATGGGTTGCTGTGACACAAGTCAAGTCTGCTATGCTAGTAATGAATCGTAAGCCATTGCTGGCCAGCTGCTACAACACCTGCATTGACCCTGCTGAATGGGCCTCTCATCATGGGCCTCTCATCACGGGCCTCTCATCATGGGCCTCCCATCATGGGCCTCCCATCATGGGCCTCTCATCATGGGCCTCTCATCATGGGCCTCTCATCATGGGCCTTTCATCATGGGCCTCTCATCATGGGCCTCTCATCATGGGCCTCTCATCATGGGCCTCTCATCATGGGCCTCTCATCATGGGCCTCTCATCATGGGCCTCTCATCATGGGCCTCCCATCATGGGCCTCCCATCATGGGCCTCCCATCATGGGCCTCCCATCATGGGCCTCCCATCATGGGCCTCTCATCGTGGGCCTCCCATCATGGGCCTCCCATCATGGGCCTCCCATCATGGGCCTCTCATCATGGGCCTCTCATCATGGGCCTCTCATCATGGGCCTCTCATCATGGGCCTCCCATCATGCCCTTTTTCCTCCCAACCTCCCATCCCCCTCTCCCCTCCTCGATTCACTGGTTACATGTTACATGTTACATCAGGTGTTGCTCCATGAGGGCGGTACACTTCTCGTTTGCCTCAACTCTATCAGAGCCCTCAACCCCACGTCCCTTCGGCCTCCCAGCCGCACATCCCGCTTGCTCCAACGACTTAAGCTGCTACTGCAGAGGGGGGTGGGGAAACAGAGTGTCAGCACCGGCAATAGTGCAGCTGCGAAGGGGCAGGTTTCAGCAGCAAGCACGCCTTGAGACAGCTTGTAGAAGTCGCCTTTTAAACACAAGATTTATTGCTGCTGGGGAAGCCGGGTGGTAGTAACAGTAACAGAGAAGCTGCCAAGGGGCGGTTTCAGCAGCAGACACGCCTGCTGTGAGGGACCTCTGAACTGAACCTGTTGCTGCTGCAGAGGGTGGTGGTGGGGAAACCCTGATGTTGCAGGAGCTGCAGTGGGTGGTGGTGGAAAAGCTGCGTGGAAATGCCTACTTTTGAGGCGCCTCAAAACGAGCTGCAGTGGGTGGTGATGGAAAAGCTGCGTGGAAATGCCAGTAACATAGAAGCTGCGAAGGGGCTGTTTGGGGAAGGCAGCAGGCACGCCTTGAGCCTGCGGTGAGGGGTTTCCAACCAGAATCTGATGGCTGCTGCATAGGGTGCTGCTGGGGAAACTCGGTGGCTTTTGAGGAAAGCTGCTGAGGCGGCTGTTTCTCAGGTCAGGCCCAATGCTCCTGCTCGTTATGCCTGCTCTGTTGGGACAAATATTTTAGGAAAGACAGGGTGATTTTACGAAAGACAGGGTGATTTTACGGAAGGTGCTGAAGGATATGTTCTGCACTAGGTACAATCTCAGCCTTCCTGAGGATGCTATGCTGTGTGGATCAGTGCCATGATTCAGAGCAGATGTTGGGGAAGCTAGCTTCATGTGTGGTCACACTTGGGAGGCTAGCGTCATCTCATACTGAGCATGTTCAATGCACAAACTGCCGCGACGAGAGGCCCGCAAGAATGTACCCTTAGGGCGTATTCCTAGAGTCCAGGATCGGGATCAGGATCAGGATCAGGATGTTAGAATGCGAGAATAATGATAGAAACAAGAGAGAGTACCGTAATCCCCAGTATATAACACCCTATGGTGGATGTAATAATTCATTAAAAAAATGACTGGGTGTTAACAGTGGCCTGGAAAAATATAACGCCCATGTGTTATGTATAATTCATTTTGAATCTGATTGTTTCTAGGCTTATACATGCATTGGGTTTCTTTAAAGGAGTTTTGCGCTGTTTGGACGAGAGGATGGCCATGCCAACGTGTCGAACTCGGCATGGGCTATAGGATTTGTGGCCAATCCCTGACGGCCGCAGCTGCCAACAGCCAGCGGATTGCTGCCATCGGCTGCCAGTGCTGCGAGTGCACAGCTAGGTGCACTAGATGCTGCCAGCGCAACACCTGCGACAGAATCTGGCATCTCAAGATGCCCTCTAGAAGCTTCTTGACCAAACCATCGCATGCAAGCATGCGATGGTGTTTTTTGGCTGTCAAGAATCGTGCGCGGCTCGGGAAGAGGGCCGGCTCACGTTCATCCGTTGCTTGTCGCTGCGTCATTTTAGCGTTCCAGTATTGTCTTCCTTGCAGAAAACCCTTCGCGATGTCCAACCTCTCTAACAGAGCCTCGGGCACTAGTCCGCCAAGGCGATTTTGTGCACAGAGATTCACTCATGGCGGCCCGTGCTGTTAGCAGCCTCTCAGTTTTGCGAACCCATCGTCCTCCCCACGGTAGTCAGTTTCTTCTCCGTGCGTTTCCGTCGATCCCTCCAGCACCACCTGCGCCTCCCGCGCCTCCTGCACCTCCTGCCCCACCTGCTCCTCCTGCACCTCCCTATCCATCGTCTCCGATTTCTAGTCGTCCCGAGGAGTGGAACAACGATTGGCAGGACGATGATGAGCTACACTGGGAAGATGCTGCCGACGGAGAGCCAGAGCCACCACCGACACTTCCTCATGTCATTGTTCCATCTTTCCCTCAGCCCATTCGTCGTTCCCACATGCCGCGGGTTTACAGGGATGCTGCACCTCCCTCCTCCAGAAATCGCAGGACCAGGCGCAAGGGAGTCGCGCGCACAGCAGCGGAAAAGCTATACTGGTTGGCCCTTCTCGACTCCGACCCGAAGCTTTCGAATCGCAAGCTGGCAAAAATGGCCAAGGTACAACCTTGTCAGATACGCGGCTGGAAGAAGAACAAGGCGCGGCTCTCGGCGGCGGCGGGATGCAGGCGTCGTCTCATCGGTGCTGGACGCAAGGCAAAGTTTCCCAACATGGAGAAGGAGATGTACCACCGCTTCCTCTCACACCCTGCGCGCGGCTTGGCGGTGTCGGTCAATTGCCTGCGGAAGTGGAGTAGGAAGTTCATGCGGAAGCGCCATCCCGGTGTTGACTGGCGTGCGTCATCCCGTTGGACCTTCCGGTTCCGCACCCGTTGGGGATTGACACGGCGCGTCAAAACAAAGATGGGCCAGCTGTCAAACATGTGTATTTGTCATGTTTGTATAGACTGTATAGGATCGCCTCTTAGAGAGTACAACACTTAGGTATATCTTTGTGTACTCTCACTCTATCTACAATTCAATTTTCAAGTTTGATATGGTATCACGCGTAGGTAGGATCCCCCCCCCCCCCCACCTATCGCTTCCGCTCACCCCTCACTGGGCCCTGTCGCGCCCCTCCCAGCCCCCCCCTTGGCGCCCCTCCAGGGCTTCGTAGCGCCCCTCCTGGGCCCCGTAGCGCCCCTCCTGGGCCTCGTCGCGCTCCTCCCAGGCTCCGTAGCGCCCCTACTGGGCCCCGTCGCGCCCCTCCTGGGCCCCGTAGCGCCCCTCCCAGGCCCCGTCGCGCTCCTCCTAGGCCCTGTAGCGCCCCTCCTGGGCCCCGTAGCGCCCCTCCTGGGCCTCGTCGCGCTCCTCCCAGGCTCCGTAGCGCCCCTACCGGGCCCCGTCGCGCCCCTCCTGGGCCCCGTAGCGCCCCTCCCAGGCCCCGTCGCGCTCCTCCCAGGCCCGTAGCGCCCCTCCTGGGCCCCGTAGCGCCCCTCCTGGGCCTCGTCGCGCTCCTCCCAGGCCCCGTCGCGCCCCTCCCAGGCTCCGTAGCGTCCCTACTGGGCCCCGTCGCGCCCCTCCTGGGCCCCGTAGCGCCCCTCCTGGGCCCCGTCGCGCCCTCCCTGGGCCCTGTAGTGCCCCTCCTGGGCCCCGTCGCGCCCCTCCCAGGCCCCGTCACGCCCCTCCTAGGCCCCTTAGCGCCCCTCCTGGGCCTCGTCGCGCCCCTCCTGGGCTTCGTAGCGCCCCTCCTGGGCCCCGTTGCGCCCCTCCTGGGCCTCTGTAGCGCCCCTCCTGGGCCCCCCGTCGTGCCCCTCCTGGGCCCCGTAGCGCCCCTCCTGGGCCGCGTCGTACCCCCCCCCCTTGGTCCCGTCGCCCCTGCCCGACCCCGTCGCAGCCGCCCGGCCCCGTCGCGCCCGCCCGGCGTCGTTGCAGCCGCCCGGCCCCGTCGCACCAGCCCGGCCGCCGTCCCGCTCGCTCGGCCCCGTCGCACCGGCCCGGCCCTGCCGCACCCGCCCGGCCCCGTCGCCCCAGCCCGGCCCCGTCGCGCCCGCTCGGCCCCGTCGCCCCGTCCGGCCCTGTCGCACCAGCCCTGCCCCGTCGCGCCCGCCCGGCCCCGTCGCAGCCGCCTGGCCCCGTCGCAGCCGCCCGGCCCCGTCGCAGCCGCCCGGCCCCGTCGCACCCTGCCCGGCCCCGTCGCAGCCGCCCGGCCCCGTCGCACCAGCCCGGCCGCCGTCCCGCTCGCCCGGCCCCGTCGCACCGGCCCGGCCCTGCCGCACCCGCCCGGCCCCGTCGCCCCAGCCCGGCCCTGTCGCGCCCGCTCGGCCCCGTCGCCCCGTCCCGGCCCTGTCGCACCAGCCCGGCCCCGTCGCGCCCGCCCGGCCCCGTCGGGCCAGCTCCGGCCCCGTCCTCCTCACTGGTACGGTTCCCCCCCACCCCGCCCTGCTCCGTGCCGCCTCGCATCACACTGTACTGTCTGGCACCGCACTACACCGCACTGCACCGCACTGCATCGCACTGCACCGCACTGTACCGCACTGCACCGCACTACACCGCACTGCACCGCACTGTACCGCACTGCACCGCACTGCACCGCACTGTACCGCACTGCACCGCACTGTACCGCACTGCACCTAGCTGCACTGCCCTGCACCGCACTGGACTGTTCCTGATGGCGGCGGAGCTTCGCTTCGACGCTGAAGGTCAGCCCCTAGAGTTCGAGGCGTGGCTTGCCGACCTCCGCCGCCAACTCACTGGCCAGCGGCAGGATGGTGAACCACTTTCCGCACACCTTGACGGTACGCTCCCCTGCCCAGACCCCCCTGCTATTCTGCCCGCTGACCCCACACCCACTGAGCGTGAGTCTACTGCTGCCACTGCCCGTGCGCGCTCTGTCTGGCTTTCTCGCGATGCTGTCGCCCAGCTTGCCATTAGCAACGCCCTCCCCCCGTCCGAGCGTCCTCGCTTTAGGTCCCTCACTACTGCTCAGGCATACTTAGATGCTGTCATCAAGCGCTATTCCACCCCTCCGGCTGCCTCGGTGGGTCGCCTGATCCTCCCGATGCTCTTTCCTGACCTTGCCTCTTTCCCCACTGTCTCTGACCTCGCTGCCCACCTGCGCTCGATAGAGGAGACCTGGCGCGCCGCCTGCACTGACGCACAGCTTAGAGCCCACCAGCCGCCCATTACCTCTACCCTCTACCTGCTTGCCACCCGCCTCCCTGACCGCCTTGCTGTCGCCCGCGACCGCTTCCTTAGCATTCACCCCGCTGACCTCACCCTCACTGACTTTGTAGACACCCTGACTGTGATAGAGAACCGTCACCGCTCCATCGCCCAGGCGAGCGGTGTCGTGCCGGTCCCTATCTTTCAGGGTTGTGCCCCCGCCCAGTGTACCTTCTCCGACGGCTCTGTCGCAGTGGCTGAGACTGCTGCTGCCGCGCAGTTTCGTTCGGGGAAGGGCCGCCGCCCCAAGGTTGGGCGCGGCGGAGGCGGCGGCGGGGGTGCGGGAGGGGGTAGTGGTGGGGTCGGGTCGTCTGGTGCTGGAGCGGACGAGGGGACCCTGCCCAGTCCAGCTGAGCCGCCGCCCCTGCAGTTGCAGCAGCCGCAGCAGCCGCCGCAGTCGCAGCCTTCGCAGCAGCCGTCGCAGACGCGGCAGACGAGTGTCCTCCCGCCCGGGTGGCCCGGCGCGAGCGGTGGCCGGACGCGTGGTGGTGTGTCGAGTGGTAGCTCTGGCGGCGGGCGCTATCAGTACCAGATCCAGACCGGTCCTCGCCGCGGCTTCGTTTGCGGTAAGATCGGTCACTCCACTCCCCGCTCTTTTCGTCGCCTGGACGACCTCTTTCGTCAGCGCTTCGGCCCGTCGCCAGACCTCCCGGACTGGCACAGCATGCTTAAACGTAGTATTCCGATTTTTGACCTAGACATGGATGCCATTGTTTCTACTCTGCATGTGATGTATGCTGATGACTCTAGTGTGCTTCCAACTTATTACTCACTGTTGCCTAGTGTAGGTGTGCCTAGTGTAGCCTCCCCTGCTGCGTCAGGCGTAGGATCCTCTGCTTTGTGTAGTCTTGGTGCTTCCGCCGTCGTTCCGTCGCCAGACGCCTCTGCTTCGCTTTCCTTCACCTTGGACTCTGGCGCTTCTCGGTGCTTCTTCCGCGACTCCACCACCCTGACGCCGCTTCCTGTTCCTGCTGCCGTTTCTCTTGCTGACCCCTCCGGCGGCCCGGTAGTCGCCCGCAGTTCCACCACCCTTCCCTGTCCGGCGGTTCCTTCGGGCTCTCTTACAGGTCTGCATATCCCCTCGTTCTCCAGGAACCTAGTTGGTGTCGGCTGCCTCCAGGACCTTGGCGTCACCACTACGTTCCCTGGTCACGAGCGGTATGCTGTCTGTAGCGAGGCCGCCACTGGTGCCCCCCTGTCCATGTTCCCCCTGGATCCGGTGTCCGGCCTGTTCACTCTGGACACCGTGACCCCCCCGGCTGGAGCGCTCACCCAGGTTGCTGCTGCCTGC